GCAAGGTCTGACTGGGTCAGTGTCTGAGATCAAAGACCTGGATGGAGTTGGTGCTTCCAGAAGACACAGTCTAAGAACAGAAGCAGAGTGTTTGATTCATCTGTTGCTGTAAAGTTGGCAGACCTGAGTTTGCAACCCATCTCAAGACTTTGTGGCTTAAATCTTTGTGTGTGAATGGGAGAATCAGTATGGTGATTATGTTGATTGTCTAACAGAATGGAAAGTATTTTAATATTAATTTGAATTTTTCCCTTTTGTGTGCTATAGAATCTCAGTATTCTAGTAGCATGACCATCTTGAGGAAATATGCTCTGGCAATCCAAAATATTTCACAGGGCAACATGGAGAGTCAGACAAATACATGGTTATCTGTGCCTTTTATTCATCTTTCATATAAATATTCTTAAGGTTATGGTTTACTTGACTTGAGCTTTCTCATATATTGCTTTTTTAAAAAGTTTTCTTCAGTCTATTTTTTCATAGTTTCTGGTTTGAGTTCCATTGTGACTTAGAACTACTCAGCTTAGGGGCATTTACTCCTAGAGATGTGTTCCTCAGTTGGAAGTGTGAAGCTGCAGTGTCCTTGTCCCTGAGGCACTGGAGCACACACTTGGATTCACTGTTGGTAGGCAGGAGCAGCTCAAGGGCCCTTCAGTTGTTTGGCTAAGGGCTGTTGGTCTGAAATGGGAGGAGTTCCCATGAGACTGGCAATTAGTTTTGTATTTGAGAATGGCATTTTGAACCAGAGACGTGTCTGTATTTTCAATCCCCCACCCCTTTTCTGTGCTGTGTTACTGGCCAGAGTAAGCCTGCTTAGCCCAAGGAGGATCCTGGCTCGCTTTGCTGTTAGTGCTCATCAGTACAGCTGTGCTCACCCACTCGTGTGTGTTCTGCCACAGAGGTACCAGGAGGCTGTCCGCAGGAGAGTCACCCAGATTGTCTACAGTGACTCCCAGTTCTGGGCCCAGGAGGACAAAATGGGTAATTGTCTTTTTTCATGCAACTTGGTTTCCCTGTAATCTGTAGGTTTAAATTCAGATGTTTTGAAATCAAGGTAATTGGATTATGTGTGATCAAGCAGCACCACTCTGGCACATCAGAGGGCAGTTTCTAAGATGTAGTTCTAAAATCAGTACTTTATCAGCACTCCTTTTCTTTATCCTGTGGTTTGATTGAGTAGCATAGTGAAGCTACATTGATTTTCCACTGGATCACATACAACTTTACTGAAACTGTATTGTTAAACACAAGTTGGAAAATCTCCCAGTAAGACTGATGAAGATTTACCCCAAATCTTCATAGATTCTTTTTCCATGTCTTGGATTTACCATTGAATTTGAGAGACTGTGCTATTTTTACAGTGATATTTTCTATCTCTCTGCTAGAAGTATCCACTGCCAGCACAAATGATTTACACTAAAGGTAGTATTTCTAAAATGCTCAGCTTTAATACACTGAGCTGTATTTATGTTTTTTTTCTAATTTTGAATACTTTACTTACCTGGAGGACTTCCCCTTAAAAGAAACAAAAGTCTTTGTGAGGACTTAACCTGCAGTAGATGTAGTTTTTCTCTTTCAGAAAACCAATTTAAAATAGTATTTTCTTCCTTCTAGAACTACAAATGGCATCAACAGCTAAAAAACTTACATCTCCTCATCCAGTTCAGACAACCAAATTAATCAGACACGGAGAACTGGAAACAGACATTTTATTTGAGGAACCTTTTGACACCACGTAAGTGAAATACTTGGCCCTACACTCAACTGTGGTGCATAAGATCTATGTGACTTCATTATAGTGTTTTCATTACACTGACTCTTCAAAAAGAGACTTAAAAATTTAGTTTTGTCTTGATGATTATTTTATATTTCCAGTGTTATTGATGAAAATAAAGAAGCAGACGAGAAATTGCAGACTGGAAATGACATTCTGCAGCCCTCGCCTCTGAACTCTCTACAGAAAGCATATTCTGTGTCTCTCTCTGTGCCAAGCAATGTGCTCCAGAGCATCTTGGATTATAACAGCAGATACAAGCATCATTTAAAGCTTATTTCCCATGAGGTCGTGGGCAGTTTCAATCCATGGCAGATTGCTGAGAGGTATATGAACTGTCTTTTTGTTTTGGAAGTGAAAGACTGGAATTTGAAAGTGGACTTTCTGAACCTTCTCCTTGTTTTTCCCTCTCTCTCCCTTAGTCTTGCAGAGCAACTGACAGAAGAAGCCCTGTGTGACGTGGCAGCAGAGCTGCAGGATGTTTGTGAGGACTATGCAGAAGCTGTATTCACGTCAGAGTTTTTGCAGCCTGTGCAGTGAATTCTTTCCCACCTGTTCCATCAACGTCAGCCTCAACAGTCTGTGAGGTTTTCTGCTCTGGATCTCCATACCTGTGCAGTGAATTCTTTCCCACCTGTTCCATCAACGTCAGCCTCAGCCTGACATGACACTCTGTGAGGTTTTCTGCTCTGAATCTCCATCAAAGATTCATCTTAGGTTTTTATAAAGCCATTATTATAACATTTTCCTTTTCAGAAAGGACTTGCTTGCTTTTCCTTTTATTGGCTAACCACCTTAGCACATGCTACACTGGAGTGAGTTCTTTTGGAGATGTAGCAATCCAGGGAAGGATTCTCATGGCACAGCACAAATATGCAAACACTTGTCACTGGCTGTACTTGCAGGCTTGCTTGGGCTCTTGCCGTCAGCTTCAGAATGGAGTTCCTGAGTATCTCTAGTACATAATGCACAGGCAAAAGGAGACCTTCCAAGAGAAGCAAGTGATAGAGATCTTACTTTCTTTTTCTTAAACTAGTCTAAAATGTTACATTTTTATCAGCATTTAGTGAGTGATTCAACCCCACACTCCTTTCTCTTAAGAATCCCATTGAAATCAAGAACAACCAAATAAATGAGCAATTGGCATTTCTGCAACATTAAATTAACTTGTTTCAAGTAATCAAGGTAATAGTTTGGATTATGTCTGGAGTCAGAGCAGCGACTAATAATTACTTACATAGTATTATAGGGAAATGCATCTGACATTCTGTTTCCTTTGTCAACTTTTTTCTCCAATGTTGTTCAATCTATAACACATTCATTTATAATCTTCTAAGATTATTTTTATTTCTTCCAATCAGAAAATATATTTTAGAAGTAATTTAGTTTCTATTGAAGCCTGGTTTACTATTTCAATCATTCTCAAATTTACATCAATTATAATGATGTAAATGTTACTGCTGAAGTGGAACTTTGCTGATAGGTGATTTCTGTAATTTAAACCAGCTGATTTCTAAAATTGTAAGTCAAAAATATTAAAGCAATTGTGTCTTTATGTGTATATATGTGTGTGAAAGTATTTTGAAGATGTTTTATTTTTTAATAAACAACACTTGTTTATTATCACTGAACACAGTTTTAGTTTAAGATAACTTCCCTCTGAATCCATTTGGAATAGCACAGCATATTCTATGATTCTATATATCCATGGTCTTTCTCTAGGATTGCTTTCTTTGGTGGCTTAGTGACACTGTAGCACCTTTAGGAGAGCAATCCTTGTCAAATCTTTTAAACAGGACTTGTGTCCAGCAGCAGAGGCAGCTAGCACTGTCACCCCTAGCTGGGGGAAGATGAACCATAGTTTACTTGCAGTTAGCTCTGGAGGTGGGAACTGCTGGGTGTTCTGGCTATTCCACTTAAGGCTCAAGCAAAACCACTCAGCTTGCCGTGTTCTCAGGGGTATTAGCTGTGGCTCTTGAATGAACTGCTAAACAATACCCCTAGCAAATCATGCAATTATACCTACCAAGCTGGTGTTGGCACAGAGCCTGTAAGTTGCTTTAGGACTCGGTTGCATTTTGTTTGCTTGGTTCTTTAATTGTAGGATTTTTGGGGCAAAACTTTTGGTCACTGCCCTTTATTTAGTGGTGTTCTGACACACTGCAGTAACATACAATCCCTCCTAAGCTCTCTGCTAGCCTCCTCCCATCGTTTCTACAAGAAGGGCTGTGACAAGTCATTCCTTAAGATTAATTTCTCCCGGTTATTGCGGGTTCTGTAGAAGTTCGCTTCTCTACTTTTAGAGACATGCTGCTAGTGAGGCTCTTGAAGAGGGACGAACCCTGTAAGTTCCCTAACTCAGCTTTCAGCAGACTCTAAGCCACTTGCCTACGGCTGACTTAAAAGGCAGCTTTGCAGTTGTTTAGCCACTGCATTGACATGGGGCTTGGCAACACCCGGAGGAATTTTGCTGCTGAAATCCAGAGCAGCCGCTCGCAGGAGCGGGCAGTGCCGCAGCAGCAGCCGAGCCGCGCGCCCCAGCACCGCGGGCCGGCGGAGGGACAGCGCCTCTCGGCCCCGGACAGCTGAGGGCGGGAGCCGGGCACCGAGCGGGTCTCAGCCTCCTCCGGCTCTGGGCGCTCGCAGCTCCGAGGGGCGCCAGGACGGCAAGGGAGCCGCGACCCCTCCCCGGGAGGCGTGTCGTGAGGGCTGCGGGCGAGGCGAGCTCCAGGCGCAGGGTCCTCGCCGGCAGCGGCGGGGCGAGGCCCGCCGCCGAGCCCTTGCGGGGCCGGGGGCTGCTCGCACCTCGCGGCCGCTCTCTCCAGGCCGTATATGCGCAGCCACGTTCCCGTGCTGGCCCGGCCCGGCCCGGCCCCCGCTCTCGGCGGAGCCGCTCACTGCGCCTTGAGTGACGGCGGCTGCGCCTTTGGCGGCGGGCGGGCGGCACCGGGCGGCGGCGGCGGCGTCTCCCGGCCGCGTCCCTCAGCGCCGCAGGCAAGGGGGCGGCGCGGGGCCTCTGCTGAAAGCCGATGGGGCGCCGGAGAGCAGGGTGCCGGAGCGCCCAGCAGGCGAGCACCTGACGCGGCTGAAGACGACTTGGCTGCGAGCGGGCAGCCCTGAAATGGCGAAAGCTCCCCTCCCAGGTAAGTGCTGAGCCTGCGCGGCGCAATGGGGCAGTCCCGAGGGGAGAGCGAGGCCCCCGGGGCGGGATGGGGCGGCCCCGAGGGGAGCGCGGGGCCCCGGGGGCGCGGCGGGGACGAAGCTCCGGCGCGTTCCCCGCCCACCCGCGGCTCCGTGGCAGCGCCGTCTCCGCGTCCTTCGCCGTCGGCCCCGCGGAGCGGTGAACGCGGGCTCGTGTGAACGAGGCGCGGGTACACTTGACCTCGTCGTCGTTATCGAGCGCGGCCCGCTCTGCCTTCGGCGCCCGCGTCTGCCGGGGCCGTGCGGGTCTGCGGGGGCGTCGCCGCTGCCCGGCCTCCTCGTGCTGGTCCGGGAAGGGTCTCTCCCGGCTCCCGGGGAATTCCGTGGCTGCCGCCTGGTCGGGCCGGTGCTCGCTGCCGCCCACTCGGGAGGAGCAGAGCGAGAGGCAGCAGCCGTGGTCAGAGAGCGGTACAGGTGTGCAGTTGGGTGGAATTTGCCGAAAGCCTGCGCTGCGCCTTGCCCATTCCCGTAACTCGTGCTTCCTCTGGAGCCTGAGCAGTGTGGAGGTTGGAGGTCGGTTGGCTGGGGCAGAGACCAGGGCTTGAGGATGCTCAGCAGCAGCACCCTGATGTCCCGTGCCCGGTGGCAGTGCAGCCTGAACGAGGCAGCGTGTCTTGTGTGTGCACGAAGCCAGAGCAGATGAGAGTGCAGTTGCTGATGCAGAAGTGGTTTTCTTCTAGGTTGCACACAGAACCCATTGCTGTTGCTGGTGAAGGCCTCACTGCTATGACTGAAGGGTCAGTATGTGGCACTGCTGCTGTTTGGTGCTAGGTCTGGACACAGCCTTACAACAGCATGGCAGTATTAAAGCTAAACCCAAAAGGATGGGGTTTTTTTCCAGCACATTTATTTCTTTACTCCCCCAAAATAAACATGGATTGGTGGTAGCCCAGAGATGGAACACTCAGGAACATGAGAGCATGAATAATTTCAGAGGATGCAAATAAGGATTGAACTAGATGTTTCTTTTCTTCTTTGGAAGATGAAGAAGTAATTGAATGGGTGAAAAGTCTCATGGCTTTTTTTTTTTTGGCATTAGCTTGCCGTTCTTGTAAGTTTGATAGGAAAATAAGAGGGCATTGCTTTTGCTTTCTGTGATACATAAATAATGCAGCCTGCATACATACTTTGCATGTTCAAGTACAATTTTGCACAGGAATTTTAAAGCATAGTACTTGTCTTGGATGTGATTTCACTGAAAAAGTATGTATTTTGAAAGAAGCTTTGTGATGTCAATACTTACTGCAAAGAAAAGCAAGAGACTGTTCACAAAGAAGGTCTGGAAGAAACTATCTGGTCTAGGCGTAGGGAGAATGTGCTGCTTTTATAAATTGAGCTTACCGAGTTTATCAATGTGAGCTGCAATATGCACAAATATTAAAAAGTTGTTTTGCTCCTATGTATCCTACCTTGCCGTCCCTGCCAGTGTTGTAGCCTTACCTCAAATAGAAAGGAAGACCAAAATTGTAGTGAAAATGTGCTGTTTGCTCACTGTTGAGTGACAGGTGTGCTTGTAAAGGGCTTTTAGACATGGCCCACATTTGACTCATTTGAGTAGCCAGATCTCACCTGGTGAACTCCAGGCCCTCAGCACTTGGAAGTAGTCCCTATGCAGAAATGCTTGGGCATTTGCGAGTGTTGATTGTAAAACCACATAAAGACAATTGCAGATCACCACCTGGCATGTCCCTGTGGGAGTGGTAGAGTATCCACTTTTCAGTTCTGGCTTCATTTTTAATGGAGCACAGTGACTCAAAAATGCCAGAGCCTCCTCAGAAAGCCAGAATCTCTGCTCTATGAAAGTAGAGACTTTCAGATGTATAGCAGGCAGTCCACCTACAGTCATTGCAGGAAAAAATTGGAAAATATTCATATCTTCTCTGGTTTTGGGAAGTCAGTTTGGAGGAGGTGATGACACTGCTGAGAGGGAGGGTGAAGTTAATTTTGGCTGTGGGGAAGCTGGCATCTGAAGCATCAAGAAGCAGCTCTGGGAGATGCACAGTGTTTACAGGAAAGTTTGATCTAGGATTTGAAGTCTGAACAGTCATGTTAAACCTCTTTTCTCTCTTCCTCCACCTCACTAGTAATCCTGTAAAGTACAAGACTGCAAATGTCACTGGTGCCTTAAAATAGAGGCTTTAAGGCCTACATGGCTTAGTTTCATGATTTGTTTTCTGTACTCAATATTTAAATATATGCCCATCCTTACCATCTGCTGCAGAACTGCCAGTGGAGGCATATACAGAGTAGACAACCAGGGATTTCTCACTGTGAAATTGCTGTGACATGAAAGACATTGAATGAGGAATGGGGGAGAGGAGCTGGTTGTGTTGGCCACTTCTGACCACAGCGGCCATCAGTTAGGTCTTTCACCTCTTGACAAGAGAACCTGCAGTTTGTGGACTTCTGTATCTAACTATGTCTGGCTTTGTCACCTGTGTATTTTGACAAGAGAGCTTGACATCTTGACTTGATCTTCCACTTTTTTCTTCCCCATCCCCTCTGGCATTTTATGTTCTCTCTACCCTCCCTCTCACCTCCCACTGTTATTTTTCTTCCTCTGCTCCTTTAGCCTCACAGTTTTGTAGGCCTCCTACTCCATGCCCCTCCTCAGCTCCTTCTGCTGATTGGAGTGTGTTCCATTTCAGCTGCAGCTGATTTCATTTCAGTTCCAGTCTCTGATGCAGATTCATTCTGTGATTTTGGATGAGGCCTGCTATGTGGTGGCACAGCAGGCCTCATCCAGATGAGGAGGCCTGCTCTCCGTGATGGCGTGCGTGGTCCTTCTGTTTCGCTGGTCAGTGTCAGGCAAGGACTTCTCTGATCAGCATCTCCCTCTGTCGTGTATGAGCTCCTGAGTCTTAGGAGTGCCTCCAGTAGTTAAAGTCACATGCTTATAACGTACATCTTCAGTTTTATGATTTCCAGATAAGAAATAAAACATAACTAGGAAATAATAGTGGGTGAACTTGGCCTCCAGTAAGTCTTAACTTCATTGTCACTAGGTAACACTGTGTGGGTAGCTCACTTAAATCACTTAATGGGTAGGCAAGAAGCATCTGAAACCTGCAAAACAAAAGGAACTATTATTATGCAGCAACAGTCAGTAGCAATAGCAAAGGTCATTCCTCCTACCCAGCATCTCTATCCAAATGGAAAAATGACTTGTACTTTTAAATTTTATTAGGACAACTGCCCCTGAATTCTAAATAGTGTGCTTCTAAAGCAAGTTTTGACAGGTGGAAATTTTCTAATCTGTGTAATAGAGTCTATTTTTTATTATTTTTTAATTGAGATTCATTCAGTCCTCAATATTTGACTGTGTAAAAGACTGAGTTTCCAGTAGCTATGAGAACACTGTGTGCTGTTTCATCTCTGCCTAGGTGTGGTGATAGTATTCAGGAGTGCTTTCTTTATGATTGCCTGTCTTCTGGCATGTGCTTATGTCTGGGCTTGATTGGAAGTTGGAAAATTTTGCCAAGCAAAAGATGTAGGAAAAGGCTCGGCCTGCTGCAAAGCTTGAAATCTGTGGTAATATGACAGTGAAGTAAATAATATTGAATTCATTTTACAGTAAAACCCAGTGCTGTAATTGCATCCCGTGAAAACTGCAGCTCTTACCCCAAGCTGCTTGAATGCATTTCCCTGGCAAGCCTGATGTGAGCACACCTGAGCTAGGATGGCCTCTGGAACCAGCCTGTGATGCTGCCAGTACACAGGGGGCTGCTATGGCTGGCATTTGGGTCATCCTGCATTCTTTCTGTCTGTCCTGCTTGCCTGACGAGGTAGCCAGTGGTACATGCGTTGGTGAGGAGAAGAGGGAGATGCTGGAGTGACTCTTAAAGTGATGCTTCTAGACTGAGGCTTCTGTGCTGCTACTCTGCCCTCACAAGTGTGTTTCAGGAATGAAATTGTCATACTCTTTCATTCCCAAAGAGTATGTGCTGGTCCTGCCCATGAAGTGCTTCTGTAAACAGTGATGTGATGACCCCAGTAATGGGATTTTTTTCAGTTGCAGTAAGTGTTTTTAGAAGCAATTTCAAAATTAGGGGAAGGCAGAATCAGTGAAGAAAGGTAACATGGCTGTGGTTTCACAGCAGGGCTAGGCTTACTTCCTGCTGCATTTGAAAATGAATTTTCTGCTCGTTAGATCCAGTAGCAGGTTCAATCCCTGTGTCTTGGTAAGGTGTGCTTAGAGGTCATCATTTCCACAGGAAAATGTTCCTTCCTTTTTCCAGAAGATACTCCTGTGCTCTCACATGTTTCACCTCTAGGTGTATGCCACCTAAGGACCTGGGGCCTGTAGTGTATTGTGCTATCAGAATTGATGCCAGTTACTGGAATGGAAATGGAAAGGAGATGCCTTTTCTTTCTCCTGAGTTGGTGTGCATTTTGAATACTCTCTTTGCTTAACAGGTAATACTGAAGCAGCGTTTTTGGTGCTGGTAGCAGAACATGTGCATACTATTTAGTGACAGTGGTGAGCTGTTCTGTCTTAGGATGCTTGGGACTTCTATGATGAGTGTGTTTTGGATACCAGGCCTTCCAAAGGATATAGAAAAGTGATTAAAGTTGGGAATCAACAGCATTAGCTATTCAGTTTTCAGAGGAAAACCTTTGCGTCTTAAACTTTTTCAGAGCCTCTTCAGCCTTACTTCACTTCTTACCTGTTTTTCTGTTTTATTTCCTTGGTTCTGAGAATGTTGGCTAAAGACCAGTAGGGTCACTTTAATTCCTCTTATGTTTTTTCTTTTTTTCTCTCTTTTAGAATCACCCTCATATCACATGTAATGAAGCGTGGTCATGCACTGCTTTATTGTCATGTCATTGCCAGCTTGTAAAAAAAAAAGAGACACCTTTAGAAAGAATTTGGGTATATGCCTCTGAGCAGAAAAGCTAGAGCTGATTCTTCTATATGCTTTTCAACTGCTGTTGATTTCTTATGGAACTGTGTTAGAATGAGCCCTGCTGGTGTTTGTGGGTGAAAGTAGAATTGGCATTTTCCATGACTGTTCCGCTCCTTAGGTCTATTTGTGGAACATATCAGAGATTGCATCATTTTAGTGGGTTGTTCCTTCTCTGGATGGACAGCATTAGAAGCTGCTGGTATGTGAGTGGGAACTGTTTCTTCTGCTGTTTGCTGGAATTATGTACACTCACTAAACACCAAAGATTAAATTTGCCTTGCATCTGAATTAGGATGACGTGTACAGAAGTGCAGTCTGACTTGCCTTCGACCGAAGTGCGAGTGTTGCATAATAGAACATGGAACTATTTCTGTAGCAATTTTTAGTCAAATAAGATCCTGCCTATTTTGCTGCTTATCACAAGAGGTTGCAGCTGATTATGGTCTGTGGCTCTTCCCCTTATGGAAGCTGTTATGCAGGATATAGGTTTCAGTTTTGATCCTTACTTATACATAGTAGGGGTAAGGAAATCAATATCTAACATGCATCACAGCACCTCCATCAGTCACCAGATCACCGATGCAGCAAAGTACCAGTGAAATTCCAGCTGTTCTTTGTTGAAGAAAAAAAAAGACTTTTTTTTCTGAGGAAAATCCCTGATTGTAATCTTAATTACAATTACTTACAGTTAAAGCTAGCCTTACTAGATCACGGAGCTTCTGTTCATGGTGCTGCAACGATGGCTCTGCTCTTGGCTTCTCCCTTGCTTTTGCTGTGGCTTTGTGCTCAGGGCAGGTCCCTGCCAGCTCCCTCTGTGACAGGTGACTGTCACAACTTGCAGTTCTGTGCAGAGAGAACAGGATAGGAGACTTTGCTTCTTCTAGGAGAAAAGCAGGTGTGCATTTCTGTGGGCTCTCCTTCCACCTGTGGGAAATGTTACTCTTATATCCTACTATCCTTCTGTCCTGCTGCCCCGACAGCTTGTGGGGAACTACTGCACGTGCTTCCAGTTCAACTGTTGTGACTCACAGATTGGTCGTGTTCAAGGCATTTCTACATGTTTTCCCCTTCTTTGATCAGAAATTGTGATACTGAGCAGCTGAAACGAAATGAAAGTTGCTACCTGGCTGCAAAAATGTCTGAAATCTGGCTGCTAAGAGTCAGCTGACTGATCTGATAAAGGGCAGCTTCACTGCCATAGAAGCACAAAGTGTCATTACCAAGGGCTCACCTGTGCACTGAAGTAGGGCTGGTCTTTTCATTCTCTGAAACAAAATTATAAAATAAGATATGCAGCAGTTGACAGTCTAAATCCAATCAGTGAGTCCAGGCAATGCCAGTGTCTAATAAAATCAAGAAATGTTAATAGAGTCCTCTGAAGGTGCCTAATGCTAATCTGCTGGCACAGAAGGAAGCAGACTCAATAGGACTGATGTATTAGGGCAATGCAATGCAGTCCAGCCAGCAGATCAGTCTAGATGTGGAGAGCTGTTGCAGTGAGCTTTACACATATTTGTGCTGCTGACTGTGGTTATGTTTAAGCTGCTTCTAAATCTGGAAGCATTCCCAGTGCAATATAATAAAACTTATGCTCCCAAGATCTTTTCTCATAGCCAGAATTTATGCCTGGATATTTGTGACACTTTTCCCTGCCCTCCCTTCACATTCTACATCAAACTCCAAGGTCCCTGGAACCATGGGCTTTTTTTGTGGGGTGAGTACTATTATTGATTTTCAGCCAGGCTAGTGGCAGTTCTTCTCCAGGGAATTGCTGTTTGCTTTGGAGTACCTATGAACTTTTTACAATTTTTTATTTTTATAGCCTCCTCCTTCCTTTCGTTCTTCCTTCCTCTCTCTCCCCCTGTCTCCCTTGCTCCCTCCCTCCTTCTATCCAACCCTCCATTCATTACTCTGGTTTTTTTTGTGGTGCCTCCTACCTTGTGCTTTTGGAATATTGGAATGCCTGCTCTTCCAAGCATTGACCCAATGCAGACTTTTTTCATTTAAGTTCAGAATAGTGTTCTTTCTACCATTATTTTGATGACTGTAATGATGCATTTTAGGATAGGTATGTATCTGAATGGAGGGGCTCCAGTAGCTGCCAGATACCACTGGACACATTCCCAATACATGCTGTACCCTTGTAATGAATACTGACTCCTTAATAACCATTAAAAAACCATATTAAAATGCTATTAATTAACTATTATTTTTACTTACTTCTTAATAACCAGTTTTTTAACCCTATTAAAATGCTATTAATTGATTATTGTTTTTACTCACATCTTGGCCAGCTAAAATCTGCTGCTTCTTACCACCCTTCACTTATATTTCTGATTAATTCAGCTATAGGTGGAGTAAATGAAGAACAAAAGGCTGTGACCTAGTGGCATGTTTTCTCCAGAATAATACAGAAGGATGCATCCTCTGTTTGAGTTGCTCTTTTACTACTGAGAGAAGAAGAATGCTTTTGTGGCCAGGGGCTCAGGATATTAGAATCAGGTCTGATGTCATCATTTGCGGAAATGAATAAAACGAAGGACACTATTCTGGTGGGTAATGAGTGTCCTTTCTACAATAGTGTTGTTAGGGGTATGGTGGATTTGATCCCTGGTTCTCTGCTGATTGTAGGGAGACTATGTTGTTAATATAAGGAATATATTTCACTACTTCTTTCTAGTGTTGGGTTGCTTAGATGTGAGGAGAATTCAGGTATTTAGACAAGTCTGGTTTACTAATGACAAATTAGTTTGAGTATGATAATCCATTAGGACCATCTAATCACTATATTTGGACCATCTATGACTATATCTGTTACTGTACCTATTCGGATGTGGTTTTCCCTTCCTGTCTTCAAATGGCAAGCTTCAAGTGAAAGCCCCAGGCCCCAGCACAGCAGAGCTCTCTGATGAAACCAGTTCAGTGAGTGAGAATTAAGTAGCTTGTCTGCAAATCTGTGAGCCAAATAAGATGGCACTTATTTTAGGAGTTAAATTGAATTTAAGTGGGAGCTACGGTCGTGTCCTGAGGAAATGCTGCTTTGTGTCTTAGAAACAATGTACAATTTGAGTGTTGGAATGGAACAGTCAGATGAATTAAACAGGAAAGAGTTTATCTTTTGAGGTCACTGCATTAGTTGAATGCGGGCTTATCTTTAACACAAACTTGTTTTAATCACTTTGGTTAAGTGGAAGTGGTTTTTTGCCATCCTGAGAGCTCTGGCTGGCTGACAGTTGAGATTAAAGTGTGCATGATGGCCATGCTGCTGAGGCACCTACACAAGCTGAGTCGTTAATGTGTTGTGTCAGGGTCTTTTCTGGAGCAGAGGTGAGCGTTCCCCTGTGTTAACGTGAGTCCCCTTGTGTTTCCAGCTGGCCCACGCCGATTTGGTGGCACTCAGCGGCACATGCAGAGTGTTCTCAGAGACTCTGTAGAGAGCTCCGATGATGAATTCTTTGATGCGCGAGGTGAGTACATTTTTGTCCTCCCCTCCCCACTTTTTCCCCCCAATTTTGCAACAACTAACTAAATTCCTTCATGGATGAACTGACAACATTGTCCATCAGACAAAACCTCCATCAGTTCTTCTATCCAGGATTTGTGAATGGACCTAAATTTACAGGAGTTTGGTGAGGTGCTGGGGTGGATGAGTGAGCTGCCCTGAGCTGAGTCTGGCGTCAAAAGCAGCATGACCCCACCAGTGCAGACCTCATGGGGTCTGATCCTGGTCCTTCCCAGCTCAGGTGGTGTATGAGGTTACAGTGGGAGTGTTCTTGTTCACAGTTCCTGATGAAGGCCATGAGTGTCCATGTTACTGATGGCCAGCTTTAAAGACCAACGTCTTAGGTTTTCCACTCTATCAAAACTTTCTCTGGAGGGACTGGGATCTCTGCTTGTTCAAGGAGCAGTATTTGAATGCTTGCGGATTTCATCACAGGATATTCTGACTTGGAAGGGACCCAAAAGGATCATTGAGTCCAGTTCCTAAGTGAATAGCCTATATGGGGATCAAACCTGTGACTATGGCACTGTGCTCTAACCAGCTGAGGTAACTGCAGCACTCCCTACGTCATCTGTGAGGTCCTGAATCTTGACATGGTTGGTAGCATGCCAAGTTTCATTCTGAAGTGGGAGAAGAATCTGTAGGTTGTGTGCATACACAGTCTCCCACCTCCAGTGGGGGCTGGGGCTCTGGTTTTGGTTCTGTTTCCAGGAAGCAAAATTTACACTTTTCTGACACATTTCACTTGCTTTTTCTGAAAGGGCTTTCCTTAAATACTTAAGTTTTAATGTCAAAAGTAGTCTATGTAGTCTGAAATGATTATAATGACAGTCACTATCATTTTTATAATGGTTACTTGAAATAAAAAGTCACTGCTATGTAAAGATAATGAACAACATCTGTTACTGTGTTGTTAATCCCTAATAATAGACTTTTAGTGAGAGATAATAATACGTGATAAATTGCTTCTGTGGATCAAAATTAAATGTGCATGGGAGACATCTAAGCATGAAGAGAATGAGAGATCGTGATCTTTTCCCACTGGGTATTCAATGAGAATAGGATACCCAAATTGTTTAAGCTGCATTTAAATCTTAAGCTTTAGTGAATGGAAGAGTTGGAAATATAAAATAAATATACCCTATGCTGATCTTTCTCCACACTGCCTTTGTGCTTTGTAATGTTCTACCATGTGCTTAAAATAGCTGTCTTGATGATTTCAGCAATGTTTCCAAATTCCGTATAAATCTGCAGTTGTAACTTTGAGCACCAAATCATACTTCAGTTTTTTTCTCTATAAAGAGAACTAAAATGATGATGTTTCCTACATTCTAGATGGCATCGTTTTCTTTGATGTGAATAGATCAAAAGTGACTAGATTCTGTCTTTGTGGGAGTATGATCACTTACTGTGCTTGATGGAATATTGTTTTGAATGATCAGGATCCATTGTTCAGTAATGCTTTGAAGGTCAGTTTGATGCCTGCATTTTTGGAGCTGGTGCGGCATGCATTGTAGACTGAGAACAAGAAATGCACTTTGAATTGGCTGGACATAGTCCATAACGAGTTGACACAAGTATTTCAAAGTTTAGATTACTTGATGGCTTGCAAAAATGCTCTTCAAATCAAGTGTTGTTTAGATAGATTTTAATTTCTTTGTATCCTGTAACTGGTCACCAGAGAGGTATCAGCAACTCCTTCTCCATGGCCCACCTTGAGGAAGGTGCAGACTGTGATGAGGTCTCCCCTCAATCTTCTCCAAACGGAACAAACTGAGGGACCTCAATCGTTCCTCATAAATCTTGGTCTTGAGGCCATTCAGCATCTTGGCTGTCCTCGTCTGGATGCTGTCTAATAGCTTTAGATCTTTCTTGTAGTACGGCACCCAAAACTAGACACCGGACTCCCTGTGAGGTTGGGCCGGAGCAGAGCGAGGCAGTCACTTCCTTCAGCCGGCTGGGTGCTGTGCCTGATGCACCCCATCTTGGCTCTTCTAGTTGCCAGGATGCATCGTTGACTCATACTCAATTTGCCATCAGCCTGAACCCTCAGATCTCTTTCCCCAGGGCCTCTCTTCAGCCCCTTCTCCCACAGTTTGTAGGTGTAAGCAGGATTACCCCATCCCGGGTGCACAATCCAGCACTCGCGCATGTTGAATTTCACGTGGCTGGTGATTGCCCCGCTCTGTGGTCTACTCATATCTCTCTGCAAGGCCTCACTATCCTTGAGGCAGTCCATAGGTCCTCTTAATTTAGTATCATTTCTGCTTTCTCCCAGCCCGTCTTTCAGAAGTAAAGTGTTTAAATGTCAGGAAAATAAATGTACACAGAAGCATAAATATTAGCAAGAGAGGCAGAAGGCATTTCTATACTCAGAAGCTCTCTTGGTGATAAGGGAGCTTCTTTCTGTGGTAGAGAAAAACATATGTGTGGGCTGAAGTAATTGGCATTATCACTAGATTAAATTTAGCACCAAAGAAACAAGAGGTGTTTGTTTATGCTGGAGTGGGGGAGACCTGTCCAGGACAGAGAATGTGGCTTTCGCTTCCTAAAAATGAGGTAGCTTGATACCCTTTTTCTGTCTCCATAAAATTTTCTGCAGTGTTTCTTACCTATATTCCTCACCCATTCTCTGTTACTTTTACAGAGTGCTTCATCAGTGTTTGATATTCTTGCAGCTGCACAGTGCAGCTGGAGTTCAGTACTGTGGGGTTTCTTCATGGGAGGATTTGGAAGTTTTCCCACATCTACCCATGTGTAATTTGTACTTCATAGACAGGCTGAAGTAGGAAACAGTGGGCACAGCAGTCGGCACCATTAAAACATAACATTAGTGAGCTGCTTTTGTATTCTGTAAAACAGCTGGGGTCAAATCTCAGTTTCTCAAACAAAGAAGTTTCTGGCTGGCGGCCTTGTAAACAGAGAATCAAGCACCTGTGTTTGAGATGAAGCAGCTGTACATGTTTTGACTGTTGATTCATCTGTCATGGCTAACTACTTAATTCAGTGAAATCCATATGGAAAGGGAAAAGTAATATTTTACTGTTTTATATTGCCTGGCTTTCCTTTGTTTCTTGCTTTCCATGTGACATACCATAAGTTAGTCAGGAATTTTACAGTGTCAACATGTAAAATTATATTTGATGCAGGAAACTACATTATTATTTAACTGCAACATACCACTGATCACAGAAGATGAAAATTACATCTGAATACATCATCACAAAATTGTCAGAATATGAAATTCCATGGTTGACCAGCATTTTTTGTCACATTTGAAAAGCTGCTCACAGAAGACTGCACATTTCCATTTGGCTGTTTTATCAGACTTCAACAACAGACAGGCAAACACCCCCATACTGATCTCCCCACACACCTGCCCCACAGCCTTTAAGCTGAAAATAATCTTCCATAACACAGCCCTGGAGGCACGTGTCTCCCATTTGTTTTCAGGTCTTTTCACTGGTCTTCGTGCCTGATGCACACACCTGCCAGCGTTAAGGGCCATGGGCTGTGCTGCTGCTGCTGCTTGTCTTCCAAAGCCAACACTGGACTTGGCTCAAGAAGAACAAAGCAGGAAAACAAAATCTACAGTAGAGAACCATTATATCTCATTTTTATCTCTGGATTAAATGTTACGCTTGTCAGCCAGACACTCACTGCTAGGCCCTAAGGAGGTCTTGAGAGCTGTTTGTTCTATGCTGCTGCTAATTTGAACACTTTTCCATCTGTATTGGTGCACTTGTGCTGAGGGGCTGGTGTGAGGCTCAGTGCAGCAAGACACTTCTTGTTACTTCAGGAAGTTGGCAGGAGGAACAGCAGCAGTAAGGACTAAGCACAAAATGTCACTGAAAACACCCATCGTACTCAGATGGATTTTTAAACCACTTGTTGTGGAGGGGAAAGGAAGAGACCAAAACCACTGTGGCTCCTTCCCTTCCTTCGTAGAGAACTTCAAGTAAATCAACCTCTGAGAGAAAGTGACAAAAACCTGAGCAAAATGCTGTGCTAAGTGGTTGATTCTCTCTGCCTCAGGGAGCATCTGAGATTGCATCAAGTCTCAGGGGGCTTTGCTTGATCCAGTTCATCTGATAAATCTGATAAATGACATTTATCATTGTTTAAAAAAAGGTTTGACTTAGGGAGAGATAGGATATGGTGGTGACTGGAAGTGATTTATACAGCCCTTTATACTTACCCGTCTTTCTCCTTCTCCAGTACCAAGATCTCTCTAAATGAGACAGGTACATATGAGAGAACATGAAAGAAAATAAATTTTTAAATCACTGAGAGGCCTCCTGCAAGGTAGGTATTTGAAAATCATTATTTTAGCCAGAAATGTCCTGGCTAAATTATTCTGGTTTTACTCCCATGTTAGAGCCATTCTCTCTACAAAAGGCACTAAGAGAGGACAGAATTTGACCCCTTCTCTGAATCTGCCTTAACAAGCAAAGAACCGTTATAACTTATTTTACTTACCTTTTTTCTGTGTGCTTGCCCTAGGTACAAAGACCATTCTGGGTTGTGTCCAGCCAGGCTGAAGCGCTTTGAGTAAATTTATTCAGAAAGGATTAATTCACCCTTCTTGCCAAATAGCTGTTAAATTGAGGGAAAATATTTTCCTACAGCTTCTAGGCCTGTTTGGTTTTGGGTTTGTTTTTTACAAAAGTGTTAATATCTATCTACAGGTTGTGTTTTGTACTTTCAGTTTTTCCTACCCCACTTCCTGGATGAGATCTCAATAAAAGAGATAGTTCTCTGTGCTGTGGGCTTGGTTCTACTCCATAATGTCCCTAGATGAAAATGTAACGCTTTACGTAGCACAGGTGGCTTTGATAAAAGGGGAAGTCTTGAACTGGTCTGTGTGTCCACACTTCCCTCAGCTCTGCCCTTTGAATGTTCTTCAAATAAAAAAGTTAAAAAAAAAAAAACCCAAACCAAACAACCACTCTAACACTCAAAGTGATTACTATAGACTTTGTTTTGCAGTGGCTGTTCAAGAGAGACAGTCCTCTCTTTTCCATGTTCTTCCTGCACATAATCTATGAAGCGTATAGGATTGCAGTAAAGCATATGAGTAGGCAAGAAGCTTTCCTGGATAGTCCTGCATAACCTGTTAAATGTTCCCATTAGGGGCTCTAATGTGTGTTTATTTCTCTCTTGATTATTAATTCTCACCCTGTCTTTTTTCTCTTGTTTGTCACAGCAATTTATTCTGTTCTTTTTCCTCTTACAGAAGAGATGGTGGAAGGAAAAAATGCTATCCTCATAGGCATGAGCCAGTGGAATTCAAATGACCTTGTTGAGCAGATAGAAACAATTGGGAAGCTTGAAGAAAATCAAGGTAATATTTAGCTTGTATTGCATAATGCTTAAGAGTTAACAAGAATGTCTGACTACTGAAGCAGTTCACAGTGAAATGTCACTCTCTATTCCTGCAGCTGTGCTCATAAGCACATTGTCACTAGGTGCCAACCCCTTCCCTTTTGGAAATCATACTTTTCCCATCTAGCCTGGTCTTTTAACTGGAATTGTGGAGCATTTTGATTTGACATCTGCAGCTGAATCATGTGTGTTTCGTCTTCTCCTGTGCTCTGTAGTAGTCATTTATGAGATCTTATGGCGTGTGTGTGTGTAAGACTCATTCAATGAAGAAACTGTGGAACTTAACACAGGAACTATCTCATGCTGTGATTTTCAGAGCAGGATTGGACTCAGTGATGCATGCCATTATTTTCCTATAAACAGTGCAGTCTGCAAAACTGCATCTGCAGTATATTTACAGTATTCTTTCTCATTTGTTAATAGAAAGCATATGTCATAGCCTTCATGTGAACATATTTCTTATGACAGATTTGTCATTATGAAGGGCTAGCAATAGTGAAGCAGATGGCAAGAAACAGCATCATTTCTCATGAGAGCGTGATAATGGAAATAGCAGTTTTCTTTTGGGACTATCACCCTTTTATGCTTTGTAGGCAACACAAGTTCTCTTTTTTTTTCTTTTTTTTTTTTTCCCTCTAAATCTCTCCCTAATTAGTGTGACAAAATACTAGGGATATTTGAAATTGTCTGTGTAATAAAAAAAAAAAGAGGACATGTCTTGATTCTTAGTATGGGTTCAAACTTTACCTTATGATCTCAGAAGTTTAGGAATGGTCATATGAATTGTCTTCTAGATTCGGGGTACAAACTGATTTTTTTGGTCATGTATCAAACCCATGCCTTTCATGCCTGCTTTAGGATGTTGAATCACTCAGTGTTTTTCCTTTCACGTGGCTTTCTTCTTGTGGTGATCTTGAGATCTGATGTACTCCACATGAAGAGACAGGGCAACAAGTTACTTCAGGCAAAGCTAGAGATGCAGAACTTGCTTAGTGTCTCTGAATCACTGGTGAACATGTATTGTTCTGTTTGTCTGCAGGATTTCCTGTGAACACAACTTTCTGGCTTGAAATCAGAAATGTGCCTTATGTCCAGATGTCTGTAAAAGATGTAACAGACAAATGTTTATATGACTAATATGTCTCTTTTCCTTTCAGGTGAATTATATAGAACCTCTTTAAGAAAACAAAGGTTCCCTGCACAAGGCAGTATTGAAATACATGAGGACAATGAGGTGAGATTGTTTCCTAGAACAAGCTGTGCTGATTTTCAAGGAGTAGACATGTGGAAATACTCTCATGTTATGTTATGTAACTGTAAATTCATCTGATGTCTTAGTGTGTTTTTCCCTTGTTTAGTAGGTGCATGTGCAATCACTGAAAATCATCACAAGATTTTTAGACATTGCATACTTAGGTGGAAATAGGACTCAGTTTTCTGAAGAGAAATTGTTATGTCTGCTTAGTACATGACTGGAAATGCAGGTTTTGTGAAACAGATTCAGGAGCAGTCATGAATTTGACAATAAAAGAATTGCAGTTTTTTTGAAGCAGGAAAGAATCTCAACATGTGGTCCTTCCAGAAAACCAATTAAGGTTCTCTGTCCACACATAAGGTTCTCTGTCCAAATGTCTACTTTACTGTTTTTGAAGAGCTCAGTCCTACAGCTCCCTTAAAATGATGACAGTCATTGATAGACTCCAGTCAATTAGTCCTTGAGTACTTTGTCTAAGTCATGACTGAGCTACTGCTGAGAGACAAATTAATTTTATTCCCTTTGAGTCTTCCTGTGAAAGATACCAGTTAAATTCAGCTGAGAGACTTCTCATACCAGTGACTTCAGCAATATTGACCACTTGATTTTTTTTCTCTGAGCAGTTCCACCAACTCCTCAGCAGTGGTGCTTAGTTACAAGCAGACATTGTCCATGGAAGGAGCTACATTTAGCTTTTAAAGGGAATTAAATTTCTCTTCTGAAAACTGGAATGAAACCTTATGGAGAAGGAAATTGTAAATCAGTGCATAGAAAAGTGGAACCTGAAAAATGCTCGCATGATTCTCCTGTATTTAAGCAGATACAAGTCAGGTCACAAAATGCCTTCAGAATGAATACTTTTACTGGATACTGAAATTCATGGGCTAAACAGAGATAGTGGAATAACCTACGATTCTCTCATTTTCAGCCATTTCTCTGTCTCTGTAATACAAGTGCTAAAGTTACCCATTTCCTTTCATTCCAGAACTTAAGAATAAACTGTCCAGAACATTGCCTGATTCTGAGTGAATCACCCAATCTAGCATTTAATGATCCTTAGACAAAAAACCATTACTGTTGTTTTTGCACTGTGTTCATATTTGGTCAGGAACTAGAAATCTTCAGGAATCCTGTCATCCAAAGTGAAGAAAAAAATAGTAGTCAAGATTTAACAACAAAAAATCTAATCTTTTAATGTATTACTGAGTTCTTGGAGTGCACATGAGTATCAAGGGGTAAAGAGGATAAAAAAAGTCAAATTGTGAGACATTCAAAATGCTTTTCTGGTTTCAAGTAGGAAACCTGCTGATTATTGTCTGTGTATGCACCTATTCACATATTCATTAATTTGTTTGTGAGTTTTATGGATATCATCAATCATGCATTTTTTTACTTTTTCAGTAAGTGTCTTTAATTTTTATAAGAAGCTACCAGTCTCAAAATTCTGAGATAACTGCATCATCTGCTTTTGCTGAATGTTTTCAATGGCAGAGGAATTTGTCTTTTTTGGACTTGTGATGATTTGAATGAGAACCTTGACAGTAACTTAAGCAATCACTAGGATACCTAGACACATAATTGCTTATGCTGCCTGTGGAGTTTGGAATTTTTCTCCAGTCTCAGAGTATTTAAAGTAACTTCTGATGTAAACAAAGCTGTCTTAATCTTTGTTGATCTGAAACCTACATCTGTGTTGCACAGGGCTTGTGTCAGAGCATAGTGGGCTCTACGTGATTCAGACATGCTTGAATTAAATGGAACACAGGACTTGTGCACATACACACACACTCCCACCCACTCCAGTGAAACCAAATACCAAAAAGTTATCATGGTGGGGGTGTCAGGAAAAAAAAATCACTGCTAATGTTGACACCAAGTAAACTAACAAAGTCTGTAAAAATGCCTCCCCCTTTCCTATTTCATGTTTTTCTCACAGGAAGGAGTTCAACATCAGAACTGCAAAACTCACGTGTTAATTTTGATCCTACATGGGGGGAACATATTAGACACTGGAAGTGGAGACCACAGCAGCAAGCTGGCAGACATCAACACCTTCAGTTCTGTGTTTGAGAAAGTGACTCGAGCCCATTTCCCTGCCTCTTTGGGCCACATCTTAATGAGACTTGTTCCCTGCCCAGCAATTTGTTCAGCAGCTTTCTCTCTTGTTTCCAGGTAAGTTGATTTGCATTCCCAGGTGTTTGGTTATGCTTTGTGGTTTTGAATGGTTTTCTGTGACCTAAGTACTTCATAATGAAATGCTGTGATTCATTCTTAATCTTCTGCTGACTGGAAGTCTTGCAATGATCTTTCACCCTTTTCCAAGTGGCTGAATTTGTTTTAAAATAAATTTTTATTGGATGTATCCACTTCAGAAGTGGCTCTTCCTCAGCTGCTTTTCTTTAATCTCTAAAGGACAATCAACTTACTCTAAGAGAATTTGGCACGCACTGATGTGCCTTCCATCTTTAGCTCTCTGTGAGTTGTTTTCCCACTCATCAGTAAAAATCAGTCAAGACATGATCGACAGACTTACTGAGAAACTTGGGGGTACACATCCACTAAAGTAAAGCTGGCATTCTATCAAATTTCAGTTTGCATTTTCAATTAAGTCATCTCCTTTTTGTCAGATGTTACTATGCAAACATTTACTGTGATTGCAGAATGTGCAGCTTTGTTTCATCTTTTTGAAAAGATTGGACACTGGGAAAAATGTCTTAATATGCTTTTAAACAATACACCTGTCACACTTGTGTTCTAGGAAACTATTCCATTGTGATTGTTGAATTCTGCTCTCTGGTGTAGTGAGTTACTATATGGGGGGGGAACAAAAGCTGAAATGTAATCATGTCATTGCCATTTAAAATTATATCTAGTTGTATGTAGAGCAATTGCACCAAGTGTGTTTAATTACAGAAATGCTTTCTAGTGTGATCCCATTCACCTAAAGCAGTAATGCTTTGGTTTTTTTAAGGAGCTGAATTCTCTGAGAAAATGATCCTTCCTGTGTTTGCTCATTGCGAGCTGCAGTAGCGCAACCCATTTCTGTTAGTAATTGCTCATTCTCTAATGCTGTGTGCTGCCTCTTGTAGTTTTCCTGATGATAACATGTCCTTTTCTAGCCTAAATCCCTACAGCTATGATGAGAGCTGTCTCAGCAGCAGTGAAGACCACATCCCACTGGCTGCCTTGCCTTTGCTGGCTGTTTCATCTCCTCAGTACCAGGATGCTGTTGCCATGGTGATCAGTAGAGCCAATCAAGTTTATAATGAGTTTCTCAAATCTACTGATGGGGCTGGTTTTAATGGACAGGTAGGACTATTTTCTCTTACATCAAAGTAAAATGTCTTCAGGGCAAGGCTGTTTGGTTTTAAGCCATTATGTTGAGGGGTTTGAGTTATGAGTGTGGGACACTACAAATATGACCAGTGAATGTTAGCATGGGATCACCTACACAAAGTACCTTCTCCATGTCCAGCGCAAGACAGGCACTTTTGGAATCCTGTGCACTGTCTCTTGTGGATTTACTCATCTGGTGGAAGATTATATACATTCTTCCACAAGCATTTTGACTCCTAACCTCTTCCTTTGCCATAGTACAATAAGCAAGGTACATAGCAAACAAGCATGCCAGCCTGAGACAAATGGTCACCTGTGTTAATGAGTTCTTCAGACACAGCTGGTGGAAAAATTGGGACACCTTCAAGATCCTAAGAAATCCAATACTGAACAATTATTTCTTCTTTGCCTCCATCACTACTAGTAATAAAGCAATAGAGGCAAGATAGAAGACTCAGTTGCTAGCAGTGTTGCAGATTTCCTGTCTAATTCTGGGGAAATAATGTGATTTTTCTGGTGTGACCTACAAATCAGTGAAGTCACCTACAGGTTTCTGTCAGCTGACAGCAGCTGTCAGTTGTTGTTCCTGCTTTACCATCTTTAGATTACAAAACCTCCTGCTTCACATAGAAATATGATACCCTATGTGAGTTACTGATACTATTTTGTAGTGGGGCCATCGACAATGGCCAGAAACATGCACTTCCTTCAAGTACAGTGACCTCCACACTTCAGAAAAAGAAAGAAAATACATTTAATATAGAGTACAGTGTAAACTTTGAAGGGAAGCATGTGTCTTATTACACAAATTCTTTTCCATGGCACTAATAAGATTATGCTGTGATACATCAGTATTTTTAGACTAAAATTTGGTTGGAAGCCATTTTTACAATGCATAGTAAACTGTTCTTGATTATAACATAAAACCAGCCCAGCTGCAGTGACAGAACATTATGAAAGGTGAAATTTTGTAAAGAAGAATGATACCAGTTACAAAAACAATCTGAAAACTTTCTCAATAGAACTTTAGTGTTATGATTTTTTCCCTTGGCAAAGCTACAAAAAAGTCTCTCTTGTGGTTTACAACTAATGCGTGTTACTTATTGTGGAAGACTCTGCTTGACCTCTGTATGTTCCACAGAATTTTCACCATCAACTACAAGCACCGTTAAAATGGAAGTGACTTCTCTGTGCTCTCTAAAGTGCTTTGCTTTCTTCCTTAGACAGAAATTTGGCTCTGAATAAGCCCTGTACTGATTGAATGTCATATATCCTGACATGCGCCCTGTGTGGATCTTTCCTTTCATATTTTCGTCTCTTCTGTCAATTTGCATTCCAAGCTCATTAGATCAGAGATTGCCTTTTTTGATTTTATGTGTGGAACAAATTAACTCCCACTCGTCAAAATAGTCCCTGGCACAGATATTCTTCGCATAGGGCATATTTCTGGTGATAAAAGAAAGTAGAAAAAAAGTAGCTGCAATATAAACTGAAGTGTAAAAACCAGTAACAAGGGAATGAAGTAAGACAGAAACTCCTCTACAGTACTGTGATGCTTTTTGTCTCTTTTGAAAACACTTACTACGTCTCCAAAAAAAATCTTTTTTTCAGGTGTGTCTTATAGGTGACTGCATTGGAGGAATTTTGGGCTTTGATGCCATCTGCTATAATTCTAATACAGCTTACGAGAGTCGGAACAGTAGCAGGAGAGGAAGCATCAGCAGCATCCAGGTGAAGAGAAAAAAATACATAGAGCTGAAATAGATGCAGTCCATGGAGGAAATCAGCTTCATATAAACCAGGGAAATTTAGTCTTCATCTCTGTCCTTCTACTGCAAAGAGAAATTTTTAATCCCTTCCATCCTTTGTTGGATTAAGTGAGGTCATATGTATAAATGCAGGCATTTCATATAAGCTCTTTTGTATTTTATTATCTGCCTAAATCTTCCCGTTGCTCTGTTCTTTTTCTGAAGGATAATCCACTCCTGGCAGAGGACTCTGGTCTGGGTGACAGCAAACAGCTGAGCAAAAGCAATATTGACATCTCGGGAATCCTGGAGGATGAGAAGCAAAGGCCACCGCTGCCTCGGAAGCAGAGTGACTCATCCACTTACGAGTGTGACACCATAACCCAGCATCATGCATTCCTGTCCAGGTAACCAGTGGGCTTGCCATTGAAAGGAACCTGTCAGCACCAGAACACAGAGGCATTGTTATTGTTTGTGATATGTTTCTGGAGGTTTGCTTAAAGTTCTTGTCTCTCCCTCAAAGAAAACTATGGATTTAGCGGGTCTAGTATGAACATGCTCACATCTGGAAAGTTTTTTATTTAATACTTTATTCAGTTGTGAGGGTTTTGAACATGCAAAAATGAATGCACAAAGTTTTACTTCTTCAGTTCGCCACTCAAAACAAGATGGATTAATACTTTATAATTATAAATTTCTGTTACCCATTTCTTTTTAACGATCCCTTTGACTTCACTTTCAGGACTTTTATTATTCTCTAGTGAGATAATTGCTTTAGCTTCTCCCACTGGTCTATAAGCTATTCAGATCAGCCTTAAAGCAACAACAAAAAAAATCCCTGCATAAACATTTGGCTTAAATGAGGAGGGGACTAGGGGGAGAAGTTAACTTAGTTTTCCTTTATCCTGAAAAGCCTTTGAAATACATGGGATGGGAACATAAGCATTCCCTTTGTCTCATTGTTCCTGCTGGTTCTAAGCTTTTTTTTTTTTTTTTACTTACCTGAACTATTCAGGTTTTTGTTTCCTCTGTCTATCTTCCTATTACCTTTATTTCATTGTGAGTGATGCAGAGGAGGAAGACTTACTGTGTGTTGAAGTTGCAGTTCTGCTGGAGTTGAGTATAGTGTAGACTTACTACTGTGCTTTACTTCAAGTCTGGCATTTTTCTTAGTAGCAGATTAAGGTAATTCTGTAGTCTTGCTTTGACTGAATGTCCTTTGCTTTGTTTTTGTTGACTATTCTGCATTTATTTTGAAACCATTGCATTTTCTGGATGTCAGTGTGTTGTAGAATGTTTTTCCTCTGAGACACAATGGTTGTTTTTCTCTTACCTGCGACTGAAAACATGAAGATTTGTTTGGTCAGTCACTTTTAGGTTCTTTTACAGGAGAAATACTGTGTTATATTTAAAACAGTAGACTTGAATAGTCATGATCCTGGCAAAACTTTATCAAGTATTGTGTAGAATAATTGCAGGAAACTCTTGCATATTGAAGGCAGTAAATTTACTGAATATCTGCCCTGAAAATCATGGCTGCTATACTGCAATATCATTTTACAATTTTAAAGTGTATTGCTTGGATCTAAATGCCATTGCTAGAGCTTTCTAAGCATCCTGTTTTGGGAATGTTTTGGGTTTTTTTCTGAATGCCCTCTTTATTACTTTTGATTCAATATTTTCTTTGTTCAGCATCCACTCAAGTGTGTTGAAAGATGGTGCAGACCTTCCTCCTGTGGATTCCAGTCTCTCAGAAGTAAATCTGGGCCGATTCGAATTTGAGGTGTCTGATTTCTTCCTTTTTGGGTCACCGCTTGGTTTGGTGCTGGCCATGAGGAGCACTGTTCTGCCTGGTCTGGATGGTAAGTTCTTCTTGGGGTTGAAATACAGGATGCATAAAGACCTTTGTAAACAAAGAGGCTCACACAAAAAGGAGGTAAATAAAGGAGCCTAGTTAAAGTCAGGGAGTGAGGTAAGTTTCTTCCTTTAAGAGATGGGAATGTTAATGTAGGTAGGTACAGAGGTGATGAGGATTGCTCCGGGAATGTCACTGCTCACTTACAAAAGTGTGTTGTAAGTTCTGCTGTTAATTATATACTCCATGTCATACATCATGAAGCTCACACTTCAGCAAGGATCAGTCCTTGAAATCAATACCAACAATAACATCTCTGCTTGGTTCAGCATTACCTCTTGTTCATGTCTGGCTTTGTGGGTGGGTTTGGTCCTTGGGTGTGTTGCTTGTGAGCCATTCTTCCTCTCTAGTAACAGAGCCTAGTGACCAGACACACAGAGGATTTTTAAAATTTTATTTCTAAAGCATCTGGATTTTTAAAGTTTTTCAGTTAAAAGATTGCTTTTCATTATTTGGCACATGCTTTGTATGGTATGAGCTTTGGATAACACAGCATCTTTATAGGAAATGCTGCATTCGTTCGTCAGGTGAGGGAGAAGATCTGTTGCAATAATGACAAGAGACAACAATTCAGGACTCCCAAGGGTTTGGTTTTTTTTTTTCCTAGCCAGTTCTTTCCCCAGTCTCTGCTCTGCTACCCTCCAGGCTCTTTGAAAGGAAAATTTCATGTTAGTTACTAGTATTTTAAACTATTTTCTTCAAATTAGCTCTCACTTCCATCCTTCCTCGGGTATCCTGCAAAGGAGTATGCTTTGAAAGCAGCTCAACTGATGGGCATTTCAAACACATTCTGAGGTGAGCAGTGTCTACTTGAAGCATAATTAGTCTTTAGAGGTGCATATGATGAAAGAATCCCATTTTAAAATGATAATTGTGACACAGTTGAGAGGCAAACAGACAAATCTATCATACAGACAGTTGGAAATTAGCTGAGAAGAGTCAGATACCCTCTTCACTGAAATGAAGGGTGGAAAGCTACCTGAAAATGTGACAAGTAAAATTCAGATGTATTTATTTATTTGTTTTGTTAGAATTAGTTTTTATAATATAAGGGGAGGTTCTGCTGTCCCCTAGGTTTAAGTCCTCGGGGTGACACAAGCCCATCAGACTGTTTTGCTGGTATATATTTGAAGTGCTGAGCATCACAGCTATAATGCTCAGTATTGTATTTACAAGATTCTTAAACTCTTTTTCATTTCTTGCTTTATTCTGTTCCTCTTCTGCTGCTCTTCACATTTCCTATGTGCCTGCATTTCAGATTGTGATGTCTCTGTAAACTCCGATGCAGTGAAGTGTTCTTTACATATGAAATAGGAAACAATTCAATTTGGCCAGCTGTGTGCTAATCTGGAGTTTGCAGAAGACTGTATTAACTATGTTTCTGTACAGACTCCATGAAAATTGTAAAGCAGCAATACTGACCTCTTTTTCTCTATCTTATTCTCATCCAAGTATGCCAGGTCCGACCAGCCTGCAGCCAAGTTTACAGCTTCTTTCACTCTGCTGACCCCTCTGCCTGCAGACTTGAACCACTGTTGGAGAAAAGATTCCATCTTCTTCCTCCATTCAGTGTCCCACGGTACCAGAGATACCCACTAGGGGATGGAAGATCTCACCAGTTAGGTATAGTGCCTGTTTTCGTAGCTCTCATTGCCTGTTGATCTCTTAAGTGTTCTCTCCTTATACAGCTCAAGAGAATTTGAAATAGCAATGTGCCAGCATGCTAAAAACAAGTCATCTGAGTGGCAACAAGACTGAGTAGCACAGACATACTTAGCAAGTGTGGAACCAAAGAAGATTACTAAGAAAAGAATTATTCTTATGCATGAGGTTTGTGATACTAGTTGTGTTAAAGAGGAGTTTGAAGGCGATACCACTGTTGTAGTTGAAATGTCACTTGGAAAATTCCATCTTTGACTATCATTTAAAACAATTTATTTTTACAGTTAGTTGATCTATGCCTAGATCTTCACGTGTTGTTTCTTTTGGTCACTTGTGGTTGGTTTGTTGTAGATATCTACTAGGACAAATAAGACCACTGAGCAGTCTTGATTGCACTTCTCCTAGGTGGGTTACTAAGCAACAGTTGCATTGGTAATGAAGATTTGAAGCCAGGAAAAAAAAAATAGATTGATTTCTGGGGAAGAAAGAGGAAGGGGTGGATGAGCAAGGTGCTAGTAGAAGGAATTGTGCTTTTCTGACTTGATAGAAAATAAGGTAAAATCATATAGGCATTAAGTATCTTTGACTTGTCATGGTATGCAAAAAAGGACATTTTGCTTATGTCAGAAAGAGGACCAGAGAAGTATCACAGACTCCCAGGGCTATGTAGTTCTTCTCAGAAAATGACTTTAAGATTAGTAGGGTTGAGTGTGAAGTAAAATGGCATCCCAGCGTCACTACCCAGTTTGGAAGATCCTGGCCAAAAACACCCAGCTGCTATTGCACGTTCATGGCAGTAGGGTGTGTGCTTTCTCCATACAGTCATGCTATGTCATGCTATTCTCACTCTGAAGGAGGAAGTTTCATCCATGGGCATTAAATGTAATGTCATTCAGGAAAACGCTCATTAGCCCTGCATTTAAAAATAAATGAATAAATAAAGAAATAAGATACACACACAAACATTGGTTTCAAAACCATGGTGTGCATCCTTTTTTTTTTTTAATTGTTATTTTAATTTTTGAAACATGCAGGTGATGCTCTTCACAACCACAGTGGTCTGTTCCTTGAGAATAGCTCTTTGAACATACCGTTCTCTCAGGAGAGTCCTGGATCTCCAAATGCATCTGATCACCCACAAGGGAAAACAAGAAAGCTGAGCTTGGCCAGCACAAACAGTGAAAACTCGGGGTCAACTGAAAGCTTGCCATCAGCATGCCTCACCAACAGTGAGTGAAGCTTGGTGCCATGTGCTGTTGGATATGGCAACAGCCTTTCCCTTCACATTGTTTCTGTGAAAAAGTTGATTATGAAAAGATAACTGCTTGGAATCTGGGGAGAAGGAGAACAGCCCAAGTTTCTGCAATTTTATATAACATAAGTTAGCTTTCTTTTCTGTTTGTAATGAGATAGATAAAGTAATAGAAAAGAAGTCGCAGTTTTGTATTACGGTGTTCCTCATAACTAGCCACAGGAGTTTCATAGTAACAGGGGTTTATGGTCATGTTCCAGGCATGAAGCAGTGTAGGTAAATAAGGGTTGTATCTCTCTCTCTCTCTCAATATTTGCTTCACTGTTTGGTAGGCATTTGCAATTCTTACCTATGACATGATCATAAAAGTAATAGTCTTTCACTGTACATTTTCCATGGACCAGAAAGCAGTGGGGATCATGCTGAACTGATTTCTGCTTCCCAAAACTTGGACCCAGAAGAACTCTTTAGATGTCAGGCTGTTAAGTGATGATGCAGTCAGTAAAAACTGTATTTTTTTGAATGATAGATACCTTTAACAGACTTAATATGTCAAGATTATGAAAGCAGAAGACCTAATTCCATTATCTAGCTTAAAATGAAGACAGCAAGAAATTACTGATATAGAAATGTTATGCTATTTTGTTTCATTTTTTGTAGTTACTGCAAAGTGGTGGGGAACAAAACGAATAGATTATGCCTTGTATTGTCCAGATGTGCTGACAGCCTTTCCAACAGTGGCCCTGCCACATCTCTTTCATGCCAGCTACTGGGAATCAACAGATGTTGTGGCCTTCATCTTAAGACAGGTAACTGATTTTTTTTTTTTTTCTCTCTGCAGCAGATAACCTTGTGATTGTCAATTTTTCAAGGGTCAGTCTTTAAATCTTTAGGTCAGTTAGATGGCTGAGTGTGGATGCATTGCATACAAGTGCATTTAGGAGTGACAGATATGGATTTATTGGAGAGGTAAAGGGGACAATGAGCCCACCATTAGCATTGCTGACTTTGCGAGCAGTAATAACGTGCCTTTATGCATATCTCACCCCTCCCGTGCCCCAGATCAGTATAACCCTGTATTATATATTAATTTTGTCCTGTTTTTGAAGGAATAGGCTATCTCCAGCCTTACATCATTATATATCTCCCTGTTAAGTATCAAATTACCAGCATACATCTGATAGTAAAGCAGTTTGAAAGTACTGCTTCCATAAGAAAGTCGAGTCTCTCCTTTACAGGACACTTTCCTAGCCTTGTAAGCACATTACAGCTTTTAGAATTTAATCAGCCTTTCAAGCATTTAGAACGTATCTCTAAAGCAGTATGTGAGCTACAGCTCTACATAAAGGACTAGTTAGTTCCAGTACAGTCTGGACCTTCTGCCCTTGTTGGGGGTTGAGAATGAGACTAATGGCTCCTGAATGCCCTGTGCCCTGCATATATTGCCTGCACATTACCTCTAGTGAATAGAATTTATGCCAATTTGTTAAAAACCATGCTTACTTCTCAGCATTACTGTAATTCGTTGCAAGCCAGCTGCTTTGCTGACCCTCATTGCAGCATGATTTTACTCAAGGGACTTCATATAAAACATCTTCTAAAATGGTTCTAGACCACTCTTCTAGCAAGGGCACCGAGATTGTAAAACTTCAGCACAGAAAACCAGCTGTTCAACTTGAAAAATTTGCTAATCTGTTTCTCATTCAAAATAGCTATTTGAGATTTCAGGTTCATCCCACAGATTTCAGTGAGACAGGGCTTCTGGTTTCAATTGAAATGTGGCATAACCCACACCCAGATTCTGAATTCTGTGGGTTGTGTCCTGAAATCTGAGTTGGACGTGAAAGTTTCTGGGTAAATGTGTGATATTTACGTTTTAAGAATGTGTATGACAGTGGGTCCTTGTGGGTCCCTACCTATCACCTATTGAAGCAGTAATACCCAAAAGGGATAAGAAACATTCTCTCTGAGTAGATGTGTAGAAAATCAATACAGATGAAGTCAGGAGTCTGATGTCTACCCCATAAAGGACATTAAAAATGCTTCTGTGGTTTTATGCTGCTTTACTGTCTTTGCAGACCCTAATCAAGACAATGTGACTTGTCACTTGATACCATCCTAATGTTTTCACCATTTTCTGTGGAGGAATGTGCAGGCTCTGCTGTGAATGAAAAAGCTGTTCAATAACTATTTGAAATTAAGTATTGGCCAACAGAGTGAAAGCAGTTTCTTTGTCTGTGCAGTTTTTGTGAACGTACAGCTTTACTTCTCTACTTCCATTGTGCTTTTGGCTCTGCAGTGTCACTCAACTGGGGCAGCAGTGTAATTTCTTTTTCTTTGCCAAGTACCAGGACTTGCCAGGGCACAAGCTATTTATTAAAATATTAATATAATTTCAGGTGATGAGGTATGAAAATGTAAATTTCAAAGAAAATGACAACCTGGATCCAGAAACACTAAGTCCATCCAATCCACGAGAAAAATGGCTACGCAAGAGGACACATGTCAAATTGAGGGTAAGTTTAACTCTGAATATATATGGCAGCTATGGAACATGGGTTTGGCAGAAATTTAAGTCGAGTTTGATCTCCCTGAGTAAGATGAATATCACTAAAGAGCTGAAAACTGATAACGTAATCCAGAGGCAGGCAAATTAATGGTTAGGGAATATGAGCAATTTCCTCTTGGTTTATCACTTCATGTTGGGAGAAAGTATATTTCTTTCTTTAAATAACAGACAGGCTCTCAGTTTCCATTATACAAAGAGGTTTCTTTTATGCTAGACAAATCCATAAGCCAAGCAAATCTGTTTCCTACTTTCTTCAGGTGCTAAGTCAATTAGTAACGTCAGTTAAAATGCATGTGCCTGCACATAATTATGTGACTCTGTGGCACCGCTTGAAGTGAAAAAGAATTGGCTTTCCTTTAAATGTTCTCTCTTATTTGGTCATCTTGAGTACTCTCTCTAGAAAGTCTATTCAGGAACCCACCATTAGTAGAAATTGGGCTCTGGCTGAAATGGGACTGCAGTGCACTTCATGTACCTCAGACATACTGTCCAGGACTGTGTTTTTGTGTCACTGTTCTTACAAAATAGAGACAGCAGCTTTGTGACAAACACCAACAGCCCCCTTCCCATCTTCTGCTCTTATTTCAGAATGTGACTGCTAATCACCGAGCTAATGATGTCATTGCAGCAGAAGATGGTCCTCAGGTACTGGTTGGGCGCTTCATGTATGGACCTCTGGACATGGTGGCTTTAACAGGTGAAAAGGTGAAGTCTGAGTAATCCATTTTCTTAGTTTTACTTGAAACAGTTGTTGAATGTAGCACACACATACAGTGTCAGAGAAGGCCTCACAGTGAGGGGAAATGTCACTAGCCCCCTACTACTTAAGCAGAGATGTGCTATAAAGTGGGCTTTCCTGATATCTGACCTTTTTCTGAGATCTCATCTCTCTTACCTGATCATGGCTGTCTCCTTTGGTTGGTGGTGAGTGTGCTGTACAGTGGCTTCTGAACCTGCCATCCAGCTGTGCCACCTACTGGAGACAGCTTTCCGAGGAAGAAGGAAAAAGAATTTTATAGTAGTTGACAAAGCAGTAAAAGAAAACCATGTATCACCCTATCCAAGTAAAACAGCTAGATAAAAGAATAGGCATTCTAGAAGCTAGGTGGCTGCTGTATCTTACACATGGGCAAGTAAAGATTAGTTTTAGAAATTAGTAGTAATGGGACACAATTGAAACAGTCATTCCTAAAGCTGCCTGCAGAAACCAGGCGTACAGCTAATGAAGCCGAGCATCAAGTGAACACATTTTTTCATATTCACTGAGATTGTAGGAGTCTCTGTGCAAATTAAGAGAGCAATGCTGCTGAGCTGAGAGCAAAACTGAAGCGTGTAGGCTTCGCTTGGCCTGTTTCAGGTCTAGCAGATTATTTCATATCCTTTATGTTAATTTTGATTAAATATTTCAGTTGAAATTGATGAAATCTTTTGATAATTTGAACTGTTTTGTAGGAAAGATTTCGTCTCAATAACCAGATGCAGCGTGGTTTTTTTTGTAGGTTTAGTGTGCGAAAAGGTAATATAGCCATGCAAGATAAAATTGTCTTTTTCCTAGTTTAGGGCTCCTCCCAGATTTCTGACCTCTGTGTTTGACACATGCAGTGCTTAGATCGGGGCTTTACATTATGAAGACAATAAATTATGAAGGCAATAAACTCTTGTATGTTAGAAAGCATTTGCTTATTGAGAGGACTCTCTTTGAAGTTCTTAGTGAATAATGAAGTTCCTTCAAACTTCCTTGTAAGCTTTGACTACCAACCACGGTTGGAGATACTAATATTATCTAGGCTTGGCAGGCCTTGCCCATAGCGGGCATTTTGTTGACTGTCACACTAGATTAGTGTTTCATTGCTTTTGCAGGTGGATATCTTCATAATGACTGAGCCATCTTCGGGCAGGTGGGTGTATTTTGACACAGAGATATCCAACAGCAGTGGACGAATATCCTACAATATACCTGAACAGAAGAGACTGAGAGTTGGTGTGTATCCCATCAAAATGGTGGTCAGGTAATAACTCCAAACTGGAACTAAAGCTTTGATGGGTTGTGGTGATCAGGAAGGAACTTCAAAACTGAGTAAAAACATCATTTGATTCCCTGCTTGGGAGATTAAATCAATGAGGAGAATTTAGCTGAAACAGAATGTGTTGTTATCTAGCAGTTAACAAAGTCCAAAGTCATCTTACAATCCTATTTAGTGCAACTTGAGAAGGAGAAAATGTTTTACCTCAGTTTAATAAAAAAGGCAATCAATTCAAGAAAATAAACGCAAATAAAATTATATTCAAAAAAGAAGATTTAGAATGCAGGAAGTTTCAAAGAGGAACAAAATAAATTGCCCTGTCTTTGTTCATTAGGCTGTGAGCACATATTGTAGGAATCTTCATCACCAGACATGAATGTGGTCTTTAGATTGCAGGTTTTAGGGAACGTGAAGTGGTGGGGTGGGAAGAGCTTTGGATTTCCTTGTCATTTATCCATTTTTTAACATCCAGTTCTCTTGGGGAAAATACATTATAAGGAAATGGTTTTCACATGTCCTTCCATGACAAGAGTGATGTATGACTGCATTGTTTTTTGTTTGTTTGTTTGCTGCTTTTGTTTTTTGTTTTTTACTTTTCTCAACTGGCATTCCCATTGCAAGGGGGGATATTTGCAAGAATAGAGAGTGGCAAATGTCCATATTACCAACTGAAAGCTTGTGGAGAAAGTTTGAGTAGTAATTACAGTACTTCAAGGTGGTTTGTGGGGTTTTTTCCTAATCCTTTTGGTTATTTGTATGCATGTGATTTCTTATTAAGATCAGCTTCCAAATTTCTCTCTCTATTTCCTGAAAGTGTAAGTTTCGATTGTCACATGTAAGACTGAAATCAGAAGCCATATTTGGCAGTGATTTTTAAAGCTGTAGGTCTAGAAAGATCTAATTTCAAATCTTAACTAGAACATGCAGAAAATACTTTCTGACATTTTGCTTTTTAAATTAATTTATTGCTTCGACTCTGCAGAGGGGACCAGAGCAGTGCAGCAAGTTACCTGACTGTACTGCCCCGAGGGATGGAATGTGTTGTGTTCAGCATTGATGGTTCCTTTGCAGCAAGTGTTTCAATTATGGGAAGTGACCCCAAAGTCCGAGCGGGGGCCGTTGATGTTGTCAGGTAAATGAGGTGTGAACACTTCAAATCTCTGACTTCCTGCTTTGAGCACTGTGGGAAGGAAAAAGGTTGTCATACTAAACAGACAGCAGTTTTCTAACGGCCAAGATTCTCTGCAGATACATTTCTATATTTTCTTGCACAGCACATCTGCCTGAATTTCAGAGCAATATTAGAGTCCTGTGAATTACATTGAAATTTGTAGTTTAAATTGCCTAAAGATAAAAAGTTGCTTTGTGGCAATATGATTGTGAAGTGTGTGCAGTGAGTTAATAATGATTCCATGTGTATTTTGTGTTTCACTAATTTCAAATAAGGACATATTTGTACTTAAAAAATATCAGTTGTCAGGAATACAAGAATGTTTTTTGGAGGAAAAATTAAAAGGCCTTTTAATTCATTATTGCAGGTCTGTTAATGTTGCACTGGATGGGAAAAGGCAATTCTAACTTTGGGACTTGCATGAGAATGTAGATACGTCAGTTTTCAAGGGTTTCCATTCCTTATAGCTGAAATGGCAGGAAATCCCATTAAAGATTTCAAAAGTAGCAGTACCCGATGTGTTGCAAGGTTTATTCTAAGTGTATTTTTGAATGGCTCTCATATTTTAGATAATATTTTGTACAAGTATGTCTCTTGCTTTCCTTCACCTCCCCCAAGGTGTAGACATTATTACTTAGTTTCTTGATTGGAGCAGAGACTTAGGCATGCTGCTTTTCACTTGTTGAAGGGTATCATATGACTTCTAACTGGTCTGGAAAAAGATGCTGACCTGACCTGTGAGTATTGTTTCCCTTTCTGCACTTAAATAATTTAACTGCTTCTTCTGACAGGCATTGGCAGGACCTGGGATATCTGATTATCTATATCACCGGCCGTCCAGATATGCAGAAACAGCGTGTAGTTTCGTGGTTGTCCCAACACAATTTCCCACAAGGGATGATCTTCTTCTCAGATGGACTTGTTCACGACCCACTGCGACAAAAGACTATTTTTCTCCGGAATCTCATGCAAGAGGTACTAGAAACCTATTTATGGCCTTAAAACCTCTTTTCAGGGAATGCAATTCAGTAGAGATCTCCCTTCCTTCTGAACATCACAAAGTCTTTTTGCCATTCCTCACTTCTTTTCTCGCTTTTTAAAGAGCAAGGAAAGCTGATAAAACATCGAAAGGGACCTCCAGTCATGACAAGTCAGTAAATGAACTGCTTGTTCTTTCCTGTGCACTTAGCTGTAGTTCTTGCTCACAGGCAGGTAGATCAATGTAGCTTTCTGTGGTTTACAGATTGAAATTGTTAACAGGGAACTCATATGCTGCTTTACTGTAAATCAAGCACCAGCCATGTAGTTGCATGATGTTCAATAGTGTGTTCACTTTGGAAGTAATGTTTGTTTCAGTGCCACATCAAAATCTGTGCCGCATACGGTTCCATGAAGGATATTTCTGTGTACAGTGTCTTGGCTCTGTCACCATCCCAGATCTACATAGTTGGACGATCCACAAAGAAATACCAGGCACAGTGCCAAGTAAGTAACTTTTGCTATTCAGTCAGGAAGTCCTAGGGAAGAAAAGGCAATGCATGCAAGTAAATGCATGTGCAAACTCACAAATACACAAAGCAGCAACAGTAATTCAGAGAAAGGCAGCTGGGGTTACAAATGAGGCATTTTCTGGAAGGGTGAATAGTAAAGAGAATCAAGTGGTTGCGGGTTTTATCTACAAGTGCGTGCATTGCATATTTCTGAATGATAAAATTATATGGGTCTCGTGAAAAGAAAATTGAGGGTAGAGGGATATTAGTATTTTGTAGGTGTCTAACTGGGATGCCAGTGATCAAAACTTAATACCTCATAGCCCACACAGGTCAAGGCAGCAGTAATTTGTCACTCCCTTCTTTTCTCCCTATTTCAGTTCCTCAGTGAAGGTTATGCAGCCCACTTGGCCTCGCTGGAGTTCAGCCTCCATTCACGACCCAAAAAGAACAACTCTCGGATGATCTTGAGGAAAGGCAGCTTTGGCCTCCACTCACAGCCTGAGTTTTTGCGCAAGAGAAATCACCTCCGCAGGACTATGTCTGTGCAGCAGCCCGACCCACCTTCTCTAAACCCCAAGCCAGAGCGTGCTCAGAGCCAGCCTGAATCCGACAAAGATCATGACAGGCATTTGCCTTCCATTGCTTGGGTTCGAGGTGGAGTTCACAAATTTGAATCTATTCCCTAGGAGGATTGGGACTGTAGATCTTGGATGCACCCCATCAAACTTTTAGGCATGCCTGAAAGGTAGTATTTAGGCAGCTCTAAATTAAGAGAAGTGGACAGGAATATGTACCTTGGAGTCTTCCCTGTTCTGAAATCTGCCTTCGTACACCAACTGGGGCACTTCCAGTCTCTTCCTCTTACCATGTTTATTGGGGAAGTTTAAAACAATCTAAAACTATCACAAGTTTATCATCATAGCAACAGGTTATTTTTGGGAACAGATAAAATGTGTGCAATAAGAGGAAAAGATATTGATTTTACTCAGAAGGATTGTGGTATCAGCTAATTAGCTGCACCCAACACAGCATCAAGGGTAGGTCCTGTAGGTTACTGAGGAGGTTTACACTTTAAACATTAAGTAGTCTGTTTCCACTTCACTTTTCAATGAAAGTGATAAAGGGAGGCAGCAGTGGGAGCTACAGTAACGGGTGGTTAGGACTTCTACAACAAGATATGCTTCCTGGGTGCCTTAAACCCCAGGTTTCCTTTCAGCCTACAGTGCTGGTCAGCAGACTCCAACATGGGCACTCATGTTTGTGTGAGGCGCTGGGGAAGAAAAGGCAATGCATGCAAGTAAATGCATGTGCAAACTCACAAATACACAAAGCAGCAACAGTAATTCAGAGAAAGGCAGCTGGGGTTACAAATGAGGCATTTTCTGGAAGGGTGAATAGTAAAGAGAATCAAGTGGTTGCGGGTTTTATCTACAAGTGCGTGCATTGCATATTTCTGAATGATAAAATTATATGGGTCTCGTGAAAAGAAAATTGAGGGTAGAGGGATATTAGTATTTTGTAGGTGTCTAACTGGGATGCCAGTGATCAAAACTTAATACCTCATAGCCCACACAGGTCAAGGCAGCAGTAATTTGTCACTCCCTTCTTTTCTCCCTATTTCAGTTCCTCAGTGAAGGTTATGCAGCCCACTTGGCCTCGCTGGAGTTCAGCCTCCATTCACGACCCAAAAAGAACAACTCTCGGATGATCTTGAGGAAAGGCAGCTTTGGCCTCCACTCACAGCCTGAGTTTTTGCGCAAGAGAAATCACCTCCGCAGGACTATGTCTGTGCAGCAGCCCGACCCACCTTCTCTAAACCCCAAGCCAGAGCGTGCTCAGAGCCAGCCTGAATCCGACAAAGATCATGACAGGCATTTGCCTTCCATTGCTTGGGTTCGAGGTGGAGTTCACAAATTTGAATCTATTCCCTAGGAGGATTGGGACTGTAGATCTTGGATGCACCCCATCAAACTTTTAGGCATGCCTGAAAGGTAGTATTTAGGCAGCTCTAAATTAAGAGAAGTGGACAGGAATATGTACCTTGGAGTCTTCCCTGTTCTGAAATCTGCCTTCGTACACCAACTGGGGCACTTCCAGTCTCTTCCTCTTACCATGTTTATTGGGGAAGTTTAAAACAATCTAAAACTATCACAAGTTTATCATCATAGCAACAGGTTATTTTTGGGAACAGATAAAATGTGTGCAATAAGAGGAAAAGATATTGATTTTACTCAGAAGGATTGTGGTATCAGCTAATTAGCTGCACCCAACACAGCATCAAGGGTAGGTCCTGTAGGTTACTGAGGAGGTTTACACTTTAAACATTAAGTAGTCTGTTTCCACTTCACTTTTCAATGAAAGTGATAAAGGGAGGCAGCAGTGGGAGCTACAATAATGGGTGGTTAGGACTTCTACAACAAGATGCTTCCTGGGTGCCTTAAACCCAAGGTTTCCTTTCAGCCTACAGTGTTGGTCAGCAGACTCCAACATGGGCACTCATGTTTGTGTGAGGCGCTGGACAAATAAATGCAAGAACTTCACTTGTGAACCAAACATAAAAACTTGGTGTTAGAATAAATGTGTCAGCCACAGTTTGAACACAGTTAGTGTTGTTGTAACCAAAGTAGTGTGCAACTGTACAAAGATCACATTGTTTGTGGAACTTGATGACTGTGCAAAAATGTGTGGACTGCTCCAAAGAAGATGGCTCTGATGATCTCAGTCCCAGAGTCAGATCCTAAGAGGGCAAGCTGAAAGGAGCTATTTTACTAAGGGATCTGCAACCTTCAGAGCAACTGCTTTTTAAATTATTCGAATTAGAATATTTACACTGGAGGGAAAAAAGAATTAATTAAGTAAATTGATAACTTGTTTACCTTCTCATGTTTCACAGCAACTGCTGCATTAAGACAATCTGTAGCATTCAGAATTATAGCATTTGAGCTTCAAAGAGTGGACATGCAGAAATACAGGTGCCACACAGACATTTCTCTACTGATTTAAATTTCTCTCTGATCTCTCAATGGACTTACTAGAAGTAAAATGTGTGATGTTTTCCCTAAGTAGTAATATTTCTAGAGCATTATAGTTACTTTAACATAGTAGCAGTTTGCAGATTCTTCATGCAGATACTTCCATGGAAATTCATCAAGAGAATTTTAATGACTGAACTGATGCATGTTTTAAAACCTGCAATGAAGTTACAAGCGCACATAAAACTCCCTTTTGTTTAGAGTTAAAAACATACTGTTGACACTGAGAAAGCTTGAAATCAAAAGAACTTTCCTTTTTCAGGTTTGTTGTTTGTTTTTTTTATTTCAGGGAATTGGGGTGGAGAGGGTGTTATACCTCTCCATCCCACTTTCAGGTTTTGCTAGGCCAGACAGAGTCTCTCACCAAGTTGGTTAATGATTTTGAAAGTTAACACATAAAACAATAAATGCAATGGAAAACTTTTAAGACAGTGCAGAAGTAAAGTAAGTCTGTACTTTGTGTTAACCATGAAGTTTCAGTGGGCTTTTGGAAGGGCGTAGAAGTGTAGATTTGCCTTAAGAGGCAGCAAAATAGCTTGTAAGTGGAGATGTTTGATTTATATTTTCGGACATTACTTGGCAAGGTAGTCAGCTACCTATTTGAAACTTCCTGAAATATCTCTGGCACATCAGTAGTAGGTTGTTCTGGTTTTTGGGGTTTTCTAATGCTTCCTTTAAGGGAAGGGATAATCTCTGCTGAAGATTAAGGAAAGATGTAAAACGTCTGGTAGCAAACACTCTTTGGGAGCAGGTAAATACGTTACAAGGGGCTAGGATTTTGTGCTCTGTTGCTACAAAAGCTAAATGAAAAATAGCTTGCAAACTACATTGAAACACTTAACATTTACAAATGCTTTCCCAGTAGTATCATAGTTCTTGAATCCATGAAGTTGGAGGTATTATTCCATGTTCTGTCTCAGCCCACTGCATGGATTAATTCTAGTCACATAGTCCATTTCTTCTGTGCTTTGCACCATGATGAGGTTGCACAGGTACACCAGCCTCCATCTCCTTCTAGTGAATTTACTGTTAGCACGCTCCTGCTTGTTAATTTTAATAGGCATGGGAATCCTTGTGAGAGAGGAACTTGCTAGGAAAATTTTAAGTTTGATGAGGGGGTCTAAAATACTGACTGATCAAAAAGTTCTTTTTAGTCATTGGATGTCGTTCAGCATGTCTCCTGACTGTAATCACTATTCCTGTTCAAAGCTACTGTTGTTTTAGCCATCTACCTCTATCACCCAAGAGACTTGAAAACCTATTTTTTGTTTTCATTTGCTGTGGTAGAAAGGTCTACTTCCTTTCAAAAGAGGGATCTGTGTGTAATTGTGTGGCTGTACTGAAGGAAATAGTGTCTGAGTACAAGGTTAGAAAAATCTCCTAGCTTATAAAGGGCTGTCTTTTACTCTTGGAGACATAAAGTCATTTTACAGGGTTCCATGTCATGAAGACTCTGATTTTGTGGATCCCTGTTAATAGCTGGGTCACCTTTACAGTAGTCACTGTGCTGGCTTCCCTTAAGAATATTAGGAGCTAATAGGAGTAAAACAAGCGTGTACGTGTGTATGATTTAGTGTGGTAACAATTTCAAAGTTTCTACACGTGGTATTAAAATCAAGCTGAAAATATTTTCCCTAACTTTGTTTTCTTACAATGTATGAGAGCTTATATGGCATTTGCATAATTCCAGCACTGCTGGTTGCTCATGGCTAGAATGGTTTATCTTGTGATCTCACACCCCAGCTGTGCACTTTGGCAGAATAGTGACACAGGCTTTTTAGTTACACACTTTTTCCACATGAAACTGCATCCAGTCATTCACAGGCATTCGGCTTGCAATTGGATTTCAGTTCTACTTGTGTTTTCATGAAGGATCAGTCCGCTAGGAAGCCATTCGCTGAGGGTAAGTTTGATCCTGCAGTCATCTTATTCTTGATTGCAAGTCCTCATTGCTGCAGTTTCTGTGCAGTCAGCACTTACTTAAACTGTATGGACTATGAAAGTGTTTTATGGATATGGTACAGAAGGGAGAGGGACAGAGAAGTCAGGTGGGTGTGCCCACAGAACATACATTAGACTCATCATTTGTTTAGTGCCTCCAGTGTGTGACAGAAAAGCACATTCTTTTAACATGCTGAATGGAGGAAGCATAAATGAAATTGTAAAATGCAAAATTGTTAGTCCAGTGGGTGCTAAGGATACAGTACAAGTATGCCACAGTTGGAAGCATTTACTTCTTTGTCCTGTTGATATGGATCCATTTTAAATTACTGTAAAAAATGGCTGTGATTGATAGCAGTGGTAGAGTTATTTGAGATATTGTGAAAACACACCTTCACAACTGTGGTGTTTGGTTTTGTCTGTGTGTATGTGTGTCTAGCTACTGGAAGACAAGTTTTGGTTCTGCTTTCACAGCAGATTGGTAACCAATACACATTAAAAAAAAAAAAAAAAAACCAAAAAAAACCAAACCAACTCAAACACAGCAACAGTGGCTGTCTGTTCAATTTTGTTGTCTAGCTAGGTAGGTTTGGAACAAGGTATCATTGTATAGATTGCAGAACTGAATAGTGATGTTAATCCAAATCTGCTTATTTTGAATAACATTTTTATTTTCATACACTAGTGCTCTTGATATAGATTTTTGCTTGACCAAACTATTCCTGTTTAGTTTTGTGGCATGGTTCGTATCTATTCAGCATAAAATTCTGTTAGGTGTAAAAATGACAAAGTACTGGTAATTCTTACTCATTGGGGTTCATGAGAGCTGTCATTTTTATTTGTTTACATTAAACTAGTCTTAATTTATTCCGATTATTTCACTTTTTCCTCTAGTACCTAGGGAACTCACTTCCAAACAGCTAAAACTGGTTATGTAGAAGTGGAACTATCAGTAAACTAGAGGAAAAAAAAATTACACACCCTGGTCTATGCAGGACAATGACATTTTTTTCAGAATCCCCAGTATTCTGCAAAATAGTCTTTGTTTGCCCTTACTAGTGAACAAGTTGTCCTGTTTATACATTGCAGTTTTTCTTTAGCCAGGAGACTACTAATACATGTATTTAACAAAGCCTCAATACTTAGATCTATAGTATCATCACATCCTTCATGGAATAAATTTAGAAAGGGAATTTTTTTTCCCTTCTTTCTATACCATTTCTGTTTTAAATTTGCTAAAAGCTGTTTTTAATAAGCATTTAAAACAAAACCTGAAACCAGTAGGTATTTCGCATTTTAAAATTTGTAGGTCCAACAGTTGTTACAAGTAGGGTTTTCCCCAGTTTATTTTTCCCTCTTGCCATCTAGGCTGCAGAAAGGTGAGCACATCATCATAGGACTAGATGATTGGAGCATGGGTATCTTTTTAGTAACCTCATTGGCCTGATAATGGAGAGATGAGGATTATGCACCACAATTTCAAGATTTTTCTGATTAGAGACTGACGTGTGGCATCTGAACTCAAGATCTTGCATTGAATTGTTCATGTCAGGCATGCAGGGGAGAAAGTGGCACTTTCATCCTCATCTGGAGCTGGTACAGGGTAGAATTCCTACACACACAAAACCTTCCAGCCTATCTTCTCAGCTTCTCTAAGAGCAGTGATTCCTCATGTCTGGGTTCAAAGCTTAAGCAGAAATTGTGGGTTTGTCGAGGTAATTAAGACGTCCATTATGTTTAGTCACTCAAGGTAACTCTACGTTCTATAGATGAGCCTGAATTCAGACACACACACACATACCCCAATAAAAAATGGAAGTAATAACACATTCTTCTGCACTAAAATACCTGTTTTTCAGAAAAAAGGCCTGGAACAGCTAGAATCCTGTGCATGGACACTGGAATTGAAGTCCTTTGTTGGCTCTTTCACTCATTTTAGGTCAAGCCCAGACAGGGATTATTACAGTTTACACACTACTTGTATTAATCTCAATAAGCTATCCTTGAAACTGAATGGAATTTTGGGGGGTTGGGGAATATAAATTCCACAGTTCATTTGTCATTTGTATGGATGTATAGAACATAGGAGGGGGAAAAGAGAGAGGCGGGTTTACTGTGACATGCTGGGAGATGGTATACTAGAGATTGCAACACTGAAACATGATTTACAGATAGCAAGTTTGAAAAGTGGTGTTATTCCTGGATGACTGGTATACAGCCCAGAATGGCAGTCTTCTCACAGAACCCCAAGTCTTATGCATAACTTGTTTTTCTGTTTGTGGGGGTGAAAAGGGGCAGTCCCCTTACAACTGAATACACACAAGGAAACTTGAAAATGTAGGTGTTCTTTCAGTCCTTAGTTTTATTAAGTGCATACTTTTAAATATTGTCAGTGAGAAGGTTCTATCTGGTGACAAATGTTTATATTTCTTATGGCTGCCTTGTAAAGATTCAAAAATGTACAATAATGAATTTCTTAATATGAAATAAGGAGTAAGATTTCTACAACTGCTATAGATTTTGATGTGAGCTGGTTTTTAAAATCTTAAAACAGATTAGCCACTTAAATAAAACCTTCCTTGCCTTTAAACAAACAGTGTCACTGATTTTTCTTACCAGTAATTTGATAAATATTGAATCATGATTGTACATGTCCAAGTAGCTGGTGGAAACATTATAAATAGAGGCTGTTTGATCTGTCTGAAATAATACTTAAGATTGGAGGTCAACTTCTCAAAAACCTCCAACCCTCCTTCCTTTTCAAAAGTCCTAGAAGAAGGCATTTCACTAATGAGACAACATCTTTGTGAAAGCTTTATAGAAGTAGTTTCAGGACAAACAAAGAACAACTTGGAGATACTATACTGTATCCTTACAGTAGTATATACTATACTTATACTTCCATATAGAAAAGTTGTTTAAAATCCCACAAAACACACACAAACACTACATGAAGAAATAACACAAGCTAAAATTCTCAGTCATCTGAAAGTCCAGAAGTCTTCAGGCTGGAAGGGTTGCTTTCATATTTCCAGGCCTCATTAACAGTTTCGATGTTTTAAAATGGGTTCATTTGACAAGAAAAAAAATAATTGTGAGCAAGTTTAAAAATCAATACAAATACATAAATTATAATTGAATGCTTTTCATATTTATACCTAATACCATTAAAATGTTAGTAACACTGGAACTACTAGGTCACATGCACATTTTAAAAATTATCAAGTAGAGCAAAGTTTCCCAAATCAGTCTTTTGTTTAAAAGTTAATTTTAGAGTGAACTTATTGGAGAAGCCTGCACAAAGCTTACCATGGAAAACAGCCCTGCTGTTGAATTCTAAAAACCTGACAACTCCTTACTTTCACGTGAAAGACTAAACTTCATTATCCTGAATGACCTACCAAAAAAGGCTTGTCAAATGAATGTTAATTTTTTTAAAGCAATTAGAAGCAAAATACAGGTATCAAATGCTAAGTATACATAATCAAAATACTTCCACTGTGATATTAGCTAATAACAGTAGTTGCGAGAGGTTACATTAATTGTAGTAACAAATTTCCCTGTGTAAGTAAAAGATGTGCCACAAAAGCAATGTTTAACTCAACTGCCAAGATGCTGTCTAAAGCATCAGTAAGAAATGACAAAGTTTAATTTGTCTGGAGCCAGACTACCTAAGATAGGATTAGATGGCTAATCCTTAAGGCCATGAAGTAAGAGTCCTAAAATGGCTCTGTTCTTGTGGCATGAGTGACTCCACAGAATCCTGTTGCTTTGGAATGGCAGTTTTGCTTAGAACTCAAAGAAGCCACTACTGTTTTATTAACTTCCAGCTAACATGATGAATAACTTTAGTTTGCTAGTAACAAAGAAACTCCAGCAAGTTTGGTCTGTTATTTTGAAAGCCTATCTTTTTCACATGGAAAGTATTTGTGCTAAATCTTGTGGCTGCTGGATACCAATTTAAGCACTACTCTTACCTGGGATTACCCATCATAAGTCTGTCATAAGCCCTTGCTTTGGCCATTCTTACTGGCCAGTTCAGCATCATTTTCTAAGTACTCACTACCTCATGAAAGTCACTTTCAAGACAGTTCCCTCATCTCAGTGGAGGTAATACACTGTGGTTGGTACTACTTTGATTCTCTCTTTACTTGAAAAGAGGAAATAAGGGAATTCCTGAGCTGTTTCATACAAAGAAAAAAAAAGTGTAATGGCTCTCTCTTATATGTGCTCATAAACTTGGAAACATGAAAAAATAGTTACAGCCATCTCTGTCTAGGTACCAAGTGCTTGATGGAGTTTCTTTGCTTGCCTTCTGATAGCTTGAGATGGTTTCAGGGATCGATGTACAGACTTTGAGTTTTGTGCCATTAGATAGTAGTAGTTTGATCTTGCTTGTTGCCTGCGGAAAAACAACAGGACTACCATTAGCAGCATGAAGTCAGTAGAGTTAATGAACTGGTTGTCACACAAATTGCTGGAAAACAGATGGGAGAAAGGAAGAGGTCTGGTACAATTTCACTGTGCAACTGTTCTAAACACTAGCAAGAAAATATTTTGTTACCTTCAGTGAATGTAGATGGCAAGTACACAAATTAAGTACTGCAATAATTTAACTAGCAACAGTAGCATTTCTTGTGATATAATCTAATTCATTAAAATGCTCATTAGAACAATACTTTGAGTTGGAAACAATCATTTGAGATCAAGGTTTGCTTCATCATGAAAAATTTAAAAGGAAGCACTAACATTAAAACTCATCGCAATTGGATACCAGAACAGAAATTCTCATGCAAGACTAAAGGCACCTCCAAAAAAAGTTAATTTCACAATTATTCCAGTAAGCAACTAGGCAATAACAGAGCACATTTTATGCATCTGCACGTGCAGGAGTACCGGCCCAAATTGTGGAAGCAGTACAAATCACTGCTGAAACCATCAGTCCAGCATTTGAAACTGCTGTCATTTTTCTTGAAAATCACAAGTTACAACAAAGTGTCATGCACCTATCTTCGTTGCTAAAATAGGACACAGTATTCGGGATGTACTTTTCCCTCTAACAAAAAGAACACTTCCAACATAATGGGTGAAGATATTTATGTCACATCCACTTGGGTACAATTGCTGTGTTTAAAAATGCCACCAACATAGTCATGAGCTGCTGTTAATTGTGATAGCATAGACTCAACTGCTATGAAAATTTGAGGGATGGAAAAAAAAGGCTGTAAAATCAGATAGTTCAGGAAAATCGTTGGTTCTCTCATGCTTTGTGATCATTAGTAACCAGTGAGAACTGAACCTGAGTGACAAAAAGATTAGTACCAGTCATTTTTTGGTCTGGAGTGAGAAAAGCTGATGTTTGCATAGGAGGCTCACTGTGAACCCATAAGGACACACTAATCCACAAAGTAGAGGTGAAGTTTTACAACTGCACAATGATCTGCTGCAGCAGAGATGACCACAGTGAATATGAAGGAAGAACCCTGTGGTTCTATGTAATACTGCCTTAAAGCAGCATGAGATAATAAGCTTTTCTCTCTATAAACAGCAGGTTTTCTCCCCACAGATGCATGCAGGCATAGCCAAGGTAAGTGAACAACTACTTTACCTGGTTGCTACTATCTTCAGTTACGAATGAGAGAAACTGTCATATCACTAGCAGATGGGAGAATATTAGGGGTGAGATTTAGTGAACTTTCAGTGGATATGATAAAATTAACTTGATACAAGTTTTAACCTATAGTTATCTAGACATGGTCCCATTGGTACAAATTTTTGCAATTATCTGGGATGCTAAGCCCTTACATCTTTGTAGGTAAAGTACTTGATCCTTAACTCTCTCTAGAGAATTTGACATTTATTTACGTGCTCTAAGAGACGAAGTTTAGGGAATCACTCTGTGACAAGATTTCTGACCTTTAATTTTTACTTTCTTAATATGTTTAATTCAGAATGTCATAACCTTCACAAATACAGCAGTTTACCACCTTGTGGATTAACCAAGGTGTTTTATAAGAGGCTTCTTCATCTGGCTACCATGGACTGTTTGTTAACGTAATGCTACCTAATAAAAGTTTTTTTTTAATAGATGTGCAGACATCAGTGACTGTGCCAGTACACTGGAATTTTCCCACCTTCTCCCCCAGCCTGGATTGGCACCTCTTTTAAACAAGAGTCAGGGAGATACTGTTCTCACACAAGGTCAAATGTAGCCTCCTTCTGATAAAAATCTGACTTCCACAACAAGGCAACTGAAGACAAGTAGAGCATTTGGCATGTTTTAGAAGCTGAAAATCCAACTGCAGATTTAATCTTCCCGGGTATCTTTACAGATATTCTACATTACACTTGAAAAAGTTCTACAACTATTCCTAATCCTGAGTTACAGAGACTACTTGGCCAGCAATTAGCTATATTCAGGGGGCAGGTAAAGTTGATGGACACTTAGCAGTATTTACCTCTCCTCTTTCACAATGGCATCATCGAATGCTTGAGAGATACTCTTCAACTGGCAAATCCCTGAGGAGACCAGTTCCAAGTCACAGTCAAACTCTCTGCAAACAGAATGGTCATTGCTCCAGATCAAACAGGACAGGCTGACTAGGTGACAATACTCAGGCCTCCATCCCTGCAGTACCACCCTTGTACCTCTAGACTGTACCCAGAGAAGTTTAGGGTAGTGGCAATTACGCTCTTAATTCCATTGGCCAACTGCTTCGTGTCTCCATTCATCCCCCAAACAGCTATCTTCCAACTCAGACACAGGATTCAGGTTCACAAGGCTTGGATTCAACTTCTAGCTTTAACCTTGCTTGTGACCTTGACCAAAAGAAAAACCCACGTGCACGTGAAATATTAAGTATTTCCCTAGCTCACAACCCTTAATCTGATTTGTGTTTGTTCTTTGAGGCAGGAATCTCTGCACATTCTATAAAGAACTCAGCATAAGTAGAGCTATTCCTGGTATCTTTGGAATACAAATAGCAGCTTTGGAAAAGTTACAACTAAATCAGAGTGAGATACAGAGCAATTTCCTTTACCCAAAAGGCACCAGCAAAGAACTCGGGTATGTCTCTAAGAAAAAATTACTTTTTATGTTTTAGCTTTATGCATAGCTCAGTCCCTGTCTATACAGGGAGCTGGCACTACTTTCCTAACTATTCAAGCAGCACACACCTTCAGGAGAATAGGACAGAAAACTTTATACCTTGCCCTTCACTTTACCAGATACTCTCATCAGGGTAATAAACTAAAAATTAAAAAAAAAAAAAAAATACAAAAGAATGTGACTTACATCTTTCTGCTGGAAGGAGCAGATGAATAAGGGCTCTTCAGTGATGCTGCTCTTCTGGATCTCCGAAGAGAGACAGCATTTTTACCAAGCCAGGATGAGAAATCCCTCCATTCTCTATGTTCTGACACCCTTGTTGGCCCAAGCAAGGCCCTTTTGCTGGACCTTGGAGTTCCTTTGGAACTGGCTGCTGGAGTAATGTTCTTAGAGCAAGGTGTCCCAGGTGTAGCAGTTCTTTTTTTGGTAGAACTGGTCGCACAGCTTCTGCTGATGGATTCAGCTGGAAAGGTCACCATTGAGCATACTGGGCTTTGGCAAGACTTCTGTATTTTCTGAAAGAAGCATTAGACATGTTAGGCTAAATGAACTCAATTAGCCGTGAGATTAGGACCAGGAAGACCAGGAATATTTGGTCTGAATTACTAGCTTCCATTCTCATATCAGGTTTCAACTAACATGAATACATCTCAACCTCTGTACTCATTTGCATAGGGAGTCTCTTGCTTCCATAACCCTTGGCACTTGTCAAGGACTTCAGAGCAGGCATTAGGAACAAAGCTCTTGCTGCTCTTATGCTAGAAAAATTCAGGCTCCCCAACAAAGAACTCATGCATTTAAAAATCTGAGGTCTCTAATAAAGGGAAGTGCAAGCTTGAATCTTGTACCTTGTAGCAGGTTCTGTCAGTCTAAATTTAGATTAAGTATAATGGAGAACATGCTAGTACACAGTATGGCTACAGTAGAATAAATAAAAGAAAAAAATCCAAAGTGCTGCACATTTCTCAGTAACAATTCTTTGCAAATGATGGCATTCTCTACCCAATTTCCTCTGTGTAAAGGCTGCTCTGCCATATATGATTAAATACAGTAAGGGAAAAGTTATTATTTCATAACAAAATAAAATAAACTGTTTTCACCTTCCTCCATGTTCTGCCAGATCCATAATTTGCCTGTCTGTACTTTAGGAAAAGACATTAAATATTTTTAAAGTTAGTAACTATGAGACAAGTACTAAGGTGTGCAAGTGTGTGGGAATGGACTCTCTGGAATACAGCACTCAGTAGAGAATTCAGAAATCTTAGTAGTGGAGTTGAAGCAAAAACTAAACTCTACCTATGTTGTACTGCAAAGACAAAATACCTGGGACACTGCTCCAAAAGCATGTTTTGCTCTTCTTTTAATAGTGTGAAGAGTTTGGCACCTCTGCCTTGGGTCCAGACTTTCCCTAGTTGGGGTTTTATGAAAACTCAGATTGACTTGCTTTAATGGTACCCGTTTCCTTAAAGACATGCGAATGGTATTGAGAGAACTCAGAGAGGCTCTTCTCTTGAATTTGTCAGGCACTGGGCTCTCATTCTCATTGAGGTCAGCTAGGAGCCGGTGTTTCCTCCACGCCACTGTTGCTTTGACATTTTGGAGCACAGATGACATCTTGTTCCAGTTCTTGGTCAAGAACGTCTTTATTTCTAAAACAATGAAAATGAGAGCAAAGCTTAAGCAGAACAAGGTAAAAAGCAGAGTAAAACAAGAAAAATGGAAATTGTTACAGAATATATTTGGTTACACTTGCCTGAAACAAGAAAACCAGAGCTGAGAAGACTTTTAGTTGGACTCTTGAAGGAGAACAGCGTTGATTTTTACAGCTACTTAGGTTGGCACAAGTCCACAAAGAAGGCTTGTATTGCAATTCCACTGCAAAACTCTAGTTTGAGAGGTAGAATGCTCTATGAGTACGTTGTTTTTGTTTGTGTCTCAGATCAAGATCTGATATCCCAAATTTTTGCCTTCTTTTATCAAAACAACCTTCCACTGTGAGACAAGTTTATGCAGCTGCTATTGTCTCCTGCCAGTTATGATTACGGATACGTAAGTCCTGAAACAGACAGGATAATTACTGGCAAAAGACTTTGGTGGGAAGGGCTAAAACGCTAGTTATCTACATGACATGACAATTTAAACATATATACTTTCCATTCTTGATTTTCACTTGCTGACAAATACGATTGAAACGACCCGAGGGAGCCGCTGCTGCCCCGCGGTTACAATGATCTGTTTATTGGCCGGGTATCGCACAGGACAGCGCGGTGCGCTCTTTCTTCTGGAGGGGCCGGCGGTGTGGGGCGGCCCCGGCCGGGCCGCGGGACACCCGCAGGCCCGCGCCTCCTCCGAGCCGCTCTCGCCGCCGGAGCCCCGCTCTGCCGGCACTGGCCGCGCTCCCCGCCGGCAAGCGGCGGCAGATCCGGCGTGCCACCACATCGGGCTAACGGGACAGGGGGTGCTGGGCGGGCCCAGCCGGCGCCGTTATTGTGCCCACCGGGACAGTAGCGACAAGCGCGGAAAGTGCCGCCAAGGTCGGAGGAGACGGGCTCGGGCAAAGGGAGCAGCGACCGGGCCGCTCTGGCAGCTGCTCGGGGCAGTACTCACTCAGTGCGCCGGACGGAACCGGGACCCGGATCGGGACCGAGCTGCCGCCTCTCTGCGCAGCTCCTTTGTGCGCCGCCACCGCGTTTGAACGCCGCGCCGCCCCCTCCGAGCCGCCGGATTGGCGCCGCTGCCGCCGCCGCCCGCCGCAATTGGCTGGGCCCCGCGCGAGCGGCTGCCGTTGCTCGGCCCGCGCGCGGAGCAGCCGGCGCTGAGGGGGCGGCCCGCGCCGCGCTGAGGGGAATGCCCCGGGCCCAGCGGCACAACCGCAGGGGCTGCGCTGCGCCCCGCCCGCGGCCCTGGGCCCCTGCGGACCTCGGCCCAGAGATCCGCCTCAGCTGGACTAGTAAAAGGACTCAGGCTGGGCTGCCCACTTGGGTATCCAAGCCACAGTTCCTGTTACTTCTGGTAATTATCCGCCAAAGTCTTAGAAGGTTTTTTGTTTGTTTGCTTTTACTCCACGGGCTTCTGCAGCTCTTGCTGGAGGATAGAGCTAGTGTAACAGTCCGTATGGCACCGTAAACCATCCGGGACGCCCTCTGAAGCGCATCGGGCAAAGGATGTATGTGTTCAGCGCTGGGGGATTTTGTTTTGATTTGTTTGGTTTTTTTTCCTACTCGAGTGGCAAACAAGACATGCAAAGCATTCATTTATCTTTAAATTACTTCTGCCTGAAAAAACTGCTCTAGAAAGAACTGTAGCAGCATCTGTTTTTTCCCAAAGATTTGATTTCCTCCCACCGAGTTAAACTCAGAGCTGACAGCTAAAACACCTCCTTAGCTAAGACTTGGCTTATAGTGATGGGGAAGCCAACCCAGCACTGCAGGATACCTCTTGAATCTCACCACTGGCTTATAAGCAAACATACTTTTTACAAATTCATAGGAACTCTGGTTTTAAAAAAGATCCACATGATGGTGTTTGTGCCGCTTTGTATTCTGTTCACACCCTGATATTGATTAGTGCAGTAATAAACATCCTTTATTAACAGGTGTGTTTCTATGTATTACAGCCCTAAATTCTGTTCTGCTTTCCTCTGTGTGTTGACTGCAGGGCTTGCAGGTAACTGAAGTGTTAGACCTCTTCCCCTGTGTTCTCCCCAACTCTCTCTAGCAAAAGTTTCAGGTTCTTCTCACTAGCAAACTGGAGCTTCAGCCACCATATTTTAAGACTTGGTTTAGATTTTTGGACATTGATGTAGAGACCTCCTAAATGACTAACAGTTCTGCAAAACAAAGAGCTCTTCTTGGGGGTACTAAATACAAGAGAGAGAGAGAGAGTAAGGTAGTGATCACACCACATGCTCAGTTTCTAATGGTTATCTTGATAGCTGGGGATGTAGGTTGGTACTTTGAATGGCAAGAGTGGGCAGAGGAATCCCTAAGAATAGAAATGGTGCTACGTGAAAAGAGCATGTGTACAGACAGACAGAGTCTGTGCGACACAAGAACTGTAGGCAAAAAGACAAACAGCAGACTGAAGCTTAATTGTGCTATCAACCTGTCCTTTCATGCCTGTTTATAAAATTAAAATAGAAATATCTGAGCCTTTATAGTTGTAAACAGACTCTCAGGGATCTGCATGTTTTCTTCTTCTGCTTCTGGATCCACTTCTTGTTTCCATCCATTTCAATGTTTTTTATCCAGCCTTAATCTAAGGCAGGGAACGAATTGTCATGGAATGGTACCCCAGAAGACTATGAAAAGTCATTAGTGATAATTGTGCACCGATGGTCCTGTTCAAATGTATGCAGCCCAAATAACTGAGTACTTTTAAATGCTAGGCATCAGACCACAGACCATGATCAATTGATTGCAGCTGATGCTAACCAAAGGTTTTGCAGACAGTGTGGCTACTGTAGCAGCAATTGATACCATTTCACTGTTTAGCTAGACTGAAGGTGAAGGCCAAAATGTTAAAAGATGTATCCTATGCTTGTACTGCAATTGTTCTTCACTCTTTGTTTTTTTCTTTTGATTTAGGTAAGACTATAGTTTAGGCTCAAGGGCTTGTTTGACAGCTGGAGTACAGAGGCAAAGGGTTGTTGGTTTTGATTGTGAAGAAACAAATTTTCATCCATTTGTTTAGAAGCCTATTATGTTGGGATTGGCAAGAAATCTACCCACAGCTTTCTGCACGTTGGTTTGATTTAAGACCCAGAAGAGAAGCCCTCTCAATGGAAGATGACAGTGAACCCGAGCAAAGCTCCTGGGCCTATCTACCTGATGTCTGTCTGAGGCTTGTCTTCCATTGGTTAGATGACAGGGACAGATCTCGGGCTGCCTTGGTCTGTAAAAAATGGAGTTGCACCATGCACTCTGGATCTCTCTGGAGATGCAGAACCATCACCTTCTATGGCCAACCATCAAGGGCACACACATTGGAGTTTCAAAGTGCACTGTGGTATACCAAGAAATTTGGCAAGTATTTGAAGCACCTTGAGATCAAGTTATCGAATCCTTACAATACTCCCTTTATCAAAAAATTTCAAGTGATTATGAGAGGTCTTCTTTCACATCTGGGTAAGTGTAATAGTCACCTAGTATCTCTAAGCATCAAGTACCTAGAATTAGACTGCTTGATCTGGAAAAATGTGGTTAGGGCTCAGTTTATCAAGAATTTAGCTACCTTCCTGAAAAGAATGAGCAATCAACTTGATTATCTTAACTTAAAAGGAGCAAGAATAACTTTGGAAGAAGGCTGTGAGCTTCTGAATTCTCTAAGCAGTTTGACAAATAGAAGCTTCATATCTGAAATCAATATTGAGGATTTCTTCAGTCTCCACCTTTCTGTCTACAGCAGTACCTTGTTCCACCAAACTATGTCTAAGTTCCACAGGCTGACCATCCTGACTTTCAATTATAACTGCATCTCTGATGAACTGCTAGACATCCTGCGGGAGCGCAGCTCTCATTCCCTGTGCACCTTGAATATCAAGTGTCATATCCATGACCCTCATGGGCAAGTGGTCTCAGGAATGTCATGGGCAAACTTGGCCAAGAGAGCCCCAAAACTGAATGTGAATTTCTTCTTTGAAAGAGTCATGAAGCATGATCACCTAGCTAGGATTCTGCTAGAGGAGATCCCAGTTAGGAGCATCAGCCTACGGAGCTGTTATTTTAGTGACCCAGACTGGACAATGAGACCTACCCTCACCAACCTTCTCCCAGCTTACTGGCATGGTCTGCAGGTAAGGGAAACAACAGAGACACCCTACTGCAGTATCACAAAGCTATACAAAGTAATCATGTAGGCCCTCTGCATAACAGCAGTCAGCGACAGAAGTTCCTGACTGCTTTAGTTTTACATTCAGAGGGCAGGTTTCATAAGTGAGTCATTTCAATGCTTCACCCATAATGTTGTTAACGAAATTATCCTTGTCCAGTAATAACCCTTCATAATGCTATCAGGCTGCTCTATTTTGGCAATGCACAAATGTCCTACAGCATATCTAAATTAACTAGTGCCCATGTCAAAGCACTTTGGTGTCACAAGGGATGTGTCATCAAAGGTTTGCAACAGCTGACCCACGTAAGTGAGCATCAGGTCTTTGCATGCCAGAGGGAAACACGTGGCCTTACACTTGATGGTTGCTGACAGCTTTTGAAAGTCCTGTTCCACTCCAGAGTTGCCAATAAACACCATAGATATATAAAGCTTTCTAGAAACCATCACTGGCTCTAGTCTTGTCTCTGGGATAATTTTCATTATGTCAGATAAGATCATGGTATGACTGTAGGTGCAGCATTTTCTAATAAATGCACAGAAGGTCACCCCATCTTAACAGGAGAGCAATTTACTGTAGCACATACACTGTTGTCATAATGCAAAACAGATCCTCAGCTAATATCAAGGTACAAAATTGATGTGCTTTTTTTTTTTTGTTAACTTGGAAAACTATTTGTTGAATTCTAGTTACTGCATGCAACATCTCTTTCGTAGTATTAACAGTGTTTATTTTTTTTCAAGAAATTAACACTTGAATTAAACAATGACCATGAGTTGCTGGACAATGAGCTGCTACAGCTTATCTTATCATGCAAGAGGTTGTTATTTCTGAAAGTCTGGGCATTTCTAAGTGTCAGCTTTATGGAGAGACTGCTACAAAACCGTGCAGAAAGGAAATGCATTTTGACTACCATAAAGGTAAGACTTTGTGCTTCGAAACTCCCATTCCCATTCTTGCTCCTATACCCAAAGGTCCCCATGCCCAGGCAAAGATCACTTACAGAAATGTTAATGTAACTATCTTCCCTATGTTATGCCTTAGTACTAAAGAGCTTGGGAGCCACTCAAGGCTGAGGAAGTTTTCCAACTCTACGTAGCCACATACAGATACTAGGGAAGTTTATTATGAAGTCCTGAAAATTCCAGAAGCCCTTCCTAGACTGGCAGTCCCTCTGTCACCTCTAGTTCAAGCCATCTCCCACTTCCAGGATTTCTCAGTTACCTCTCAGGCTCAGTGCTTATGTCTATGCTTAAACCAAGGAAGGTGGACTGAATCCCCCTAAACTGCAAAAAGATATAAACACATCACACCCTTCAGAGGTCCTGTGTTGAACTGGGGCCAGGCCACCACTGTAGCTGGTGTAAACCATACTGACATGCTACTTTCTGTGCTACAATCTGAATTCAGTAGGTCCTCACAGATCCCAGGGATGCATCAGTTCTGGGGATAAAAAGAACCTTGTTCTTCCTGTCTGAGTCAGCACAGGCAGACAGCTGGGACAGCCACAAAACCACAGCTAAAAGACAAAGAGTAAATTTACTTCCCTTCTTTCGCTCACTGAGGCATCCCCAAAGCAACCCCCAGGCAGATACACAAAAGTGGAGACAGAGGCACAGTTAAACTCGCTCCAGGCCAGAGATCACTGGCTGGCCTTCATACTGGGCTACCAGGAGCTATTCCCATCTGCAAGGTCACCTGAGTGATTTACAATCCTTCTTGCTAGCCTTCCACTATTTAACTCATTCCTCCCAACACCTCCCAAAAATTCTTTGGCAGGAGATGATATTTTCAGTCAGCTGGGAGTGGGAAGAGAAAAAGCCTCAAGATTCTATTCCAATTCAAGGAATTTTGCTTCTCTAGATTCCTTATTAGTCACAGATGCTTCTTGTTGCCATGAGCTGTAATGGGCTGAGGTCCCTGTATCTGAGAGACATGACTGCTGTTTGTGCATACAGGTCAGGATTTACACAGCCCAAGACGACAGCACTGAGGAGGAGCGGCTGCTGGCTGATATTTACAGGAAATTCAAGTACCTGATTGACTCAGAACTTAATTATTTTGTCATCACCTACCCAGTGGTGTAAACTACAGGAAGAGAAGAACACCCAGTAACCATCTGCATTAATGGATCCTTTGGAGTGCTTTAGTAAGGGATTTGAATTTTGACAGCGGTGCCTCCGAAAGGGAGTTACCATTCCAGCAAGAGAGAGCCAAGGGACAATTTTAAACTCCATGCATTAAAATATTGGACTTGGGAACTGGACTCCTTTGTCTCCAGCATTATTTATTCTTGCCCTTGCTTTGGTTTTCCTTGCCAGAACCAAAGGGAAGCAGTGATCCCTTTTCCACCCTTACAGGCATCTCTGATAAAAATAAGACCCTCCTCTTTTTTCAGCACTTTTCATTGTAGAGCTTCAAACACTTTACCACTGAAGCCCACCTCATTGTTTCCATTTTACGAACAGGGAAACTGAGACATGGGGTGAACAAGTGATCTTCCCAAAGTCAGCCTTGACTTGATCTCAATTCAGATGCAGACAGATGATCTAGTGTATCAGTCAGATAAGTTAGGTCCTGTTAAGTTGGCCACACTGTCTAGTTCTTAGCAGCAGATGCTAAGATAAAAACAAAACATTGCATAGCTAGTCCTGAGACACATCCTTCCCACTTGCCCAGCTTTCCAATAAGTGATTTATGAGGACACTCCTGCTTTGGCTTCACAGTTGCCTTCTGACACCTTTCAATGGCAAAAGACATCATTGGTGACACATGAGAGAAACATGGAAGAAAGGGCATTTCTCATTATTCTGGTATTTTATTGCCAAGTCGAAGATTTCATCAAACATTTTAGAGCACAGATGGTCCTGAAACAGATAGCTGTAAGTACTAGGTCTGTTTTAATTACCTTGTGCAACTAGATAGCATTGAGCCAAGCCAATAAATTTGGAAGTTTGCAAATAAAATTTCAGCAGGAGCTGGTTCTTTGGAGCACAGTCTCCCAGTATAATGACTTCAGTAATTGTTTATGCAAAGAGACTCTCTCATTTGCATGCACAGCACTTCATCAATGTACAGTGTGTTCTCCTTGACCTTGATCTCTTCCTCCAAGGAAAGCTGCCGGCGGCTCAGGCCTTTGAGCTCTGTCTGAGCCTGTGCCAATGCATCCTTTAATCTAACAGGGAAAATAGAGGCAGGCATTAGTTGAAAACACATGGATAGGTTTTGGTTTTTTCTCATAAGGGTTAGGAATTCTGAGCAAGAAAAAGAAAGATGGAAAGGGATTCACAGAGACAATATCCACTGTCTTCCTATACAGTTTATCCATTAATTCCCTTAAAGTGTCCTGCCTTTAAGAGAAAAGCAATTCCCAACTTTTCCGAGAGAATAGCAGGGACCCGTATTATGAGTTGTTATGCTGACACATTAAATTAACCAATACTACAGATTTTTCTCTTGCATCATTTCCACTTGCCTTTGAAGATTTTTGGTAATCTCTTGGACTTCACTCATCAGGCTGCTGTGCACTGTGTCATAGCACAGCTCCACATTGGGGCGATGGTTCCTCGCTTCCAAGCGGGTTTGAGCCACTTTTACAGGTGCTTCCGTATCAGCAATTGCTTTCTTTAAGGCTGCAATGTTCTTCTCCTGTGAGGCAGTCTCATCCATCACCTTAACAAATCCAACAATGAAATTCTGCACACTGCCTCTTACAATGTGTGAAAAACACTCACTATGTTGTTATTTCATCAAACAATATTTTGCAAAGTTTAGCCAGGAGTATGACTCCTTCATTGGAAAGCAGATGACACTGTTCTGGGTGAACTCAGAAATTTATGCTCAACAATTAATTTTTAATATTATACTCAATTTTCATGTGTCAAATTTTGAGCACATTGACCCTGCTGTTATCAATTACCAGGCTCTTATATCACAATCCTGAAAAAGCTATAGGAGCCTCATGCAACTAAAAATCACAAGGAAAATCCTGACTTTACTGATGGCTACAGCAACATTTAGCTTGAAGCAGTGACTCCAAAAATTCGTCTCTTTGGTGCTGCACACAGAGCTAAGGAAAAAAAAAATCTAAAATTACTTTTACGGGAGAAGGGAACAAAAAGGAAAATGTGGCAGATAAGTGCAACCCACTGGATTGGGAAAACTGGTAGATAACCCAAGACCTGTGTTTCCACTTTTTCACTGACTGTCCCCTATGACTTACCATTGCAAGAAGTGTCTCTAGCTTATCCTTGGCATCCTTGACTTCCTTCACCCTGTTTCTAAAAGCAGTGTTCACCATCTCACATTGCCTGCGCATGTCATTTGCTATCTGTGAAAGGATGCCATCGATAAGTGCCTTCAGTGACAAAGAATTGTTCCGCTGCTTGTCAGCCTTTTCAACATTTATGTTTGAGAAATCTATCCAGTCCTCAGGGCTAACAAAACTGAAAGAGAATCAGAGTAAGAGGTCACCAACAGACAGCAGCAGAACCTCTATGACTTCATAAATCTGTAATTGTGCCACAAAATCAAGAACAAAGCAGCACTTTTAACAGCATGTCCCAGTAAGTGCCATATGTCCAGGGAGTGCTACAGATACAAAAGAAAGACTGTCACAATCATTTTGTAATGAAGTAGATGAGAGTCAGATGAAAACAAATTTGCTGGAGTCATAGAGCAGCCTTGCTGTTACTTGCCCCTGGCAAAGGAGAACTTATGAGTTATCATGGTGGGAAACACACATAATAACCAATATTTCTTAGAGCCTCTTTCATTAATAAAGCTGTTACTATTAATAGCAGGTAGCTATTTACACAACACAGTCACTTATTCTCTCACAGAGTTCACCTATACGCCACTTCCAGTACCTGCCTGGGACAACAGTTGAGAAGCCCAGCCCCAACAGTATCCCCAGAATTAGAGGGTTATGCTTGTGCAGCTTTGGCTTGCAGGTGGGTGTTTGAAAGGTTCCCCAGAGGGTTCGTTCCTTGTTTCATTGGGTGAATACATAAAGCTGTAATTGTCATTTGCACAGAGCAGGCAACACCATCCTGGGTGGGGTCTGAGTTACATAACCCGTTGTAAGGGCTGGCAGCAAGAGCTGTCAGCTTCTTGGTGTTGCAAGTTTGCCAGCTGTTACGTAGCAACAACAGTGACTTTCTGAGGCTCTTGCACACATTGCTTTCTCAGTATAGTTCCTCTATTCAGACTACTTTTCTGTGGTAGCTATTTTTCCATTTAAACCTTTCACACTAACTAACCCATGCAGAATGGGCACATTTGACAGCTCAATGTCTGAGTCAGAATCTGACTCGAGACCTCATGGATCCCAGTCCAGCGTTCTTCCCACTGGGACACCCTGGGAGAGGAACGAAGTTAAGATCAGTAAATCTATTCTGTGTTTAAGCAATATGTGAAATTCTTCCTTAGCTAACTGTAAGCTTCAAAAACTTTAGAAAAAACTGCAGTTCACTTGGAGCATAATTATTGTGGCTTATTTCACAGACATATTAGACAGATACAAAAGTGATGGACAGAAGTATAAGAAAGATGGCAAAAGGATAAAGCCTGTTTTACAAGTAATCTTGCTGTTACAGGGACAGCCCATATTATCTGTATAATTATCATATGTTTGTTGAACTAAAGAACCACTTACTTTCCTTCTAGTTCCATTGCATTATCAGCATATATAATATGAGGACTGTCATTTGTCAAGCTGGCACAGTAATCATCAATTGTCAAAGCTGTGAATTTGTCCTTCAGATCCATTTCCAGGTCGTATTTTGCTGAACGGTTTCGTCTGGGAGAAAAAACCAAAACTCTAAGACCAAGTGTAGGCATTCACAGGTGTCCTTAATATGTGTCCATGCATGCATTAGGTAATTCAAATGCTGTTACAGAAATCTTTGTGTAAAAATTCTTAGTTGTCAAGTCACAAAGTCTACAGTATGAAGCTGCATTTCTATAAATTGATGGCACAATTCTCATTGAAATTAAAGGCACAGGACTGGATCATGAGAAGACCAAGGATCAAGTGCAAGTACTTCTACATGCAGAACCTCTCACCACTACTGATTGAGTGGCATGAATTAGGACTAACCTCCTGCTAGTGTTTAGCACTGAAGATAACTTAGGACCTGTGCTCAGCCTGACAACTTCTCAGTATTATGGCTGTCTTAATTTTCATCTAACTACTGTTCTGTTATGCTCTCTGCATCTGCACCTGATTTGCTCATTTGTTTGCTCCAATGTACGTTCAAGTAAAGCAATAATCCCCTGGAGGACTTCAGCTTCCTTCAGCAGTTCCTGTTCCACTTCATCATGCACCAAGTCAACCCCAACTCGCCTCTGCCTACATGAAAAAAAGGAAAAAACAATCAGCCACATTGTTCAAATGCCTGTATCGAACAGAAGATGATAAAGTTCCACTTTCCCAGTGCTGAAAATCAGACTGTGACTTCACTGTAAAGAGAGGTGGGCCTTTAGTTTGCAGTCTTTTTTCTTATTTGTTAAAGGTTCATTACCTAGAATTTTTTGTCTCCTTGAATGCTCACCTGTACATGAGACACTTTTGGGCAATGACAAGGGGCTCTTTGCAGCCCTCCAAAGCTCTCTCCAGCCTATTTTTGAAAGTCAACAAAATCTCTGTCTCATGAACAATTTGTTCTAGCTTGTTATCTAATTCTTGCTTCCAGAATTTTATCTCTTCCCGTCTCTGTTCTGTAGAATCAAAATAACAAACATGTATTAATATGGGCTCATTTTATGAGCAAGGGACTGCAGCTCAGGTCTTAGGTATGGCTAGAAATAGACTTATTCTATAGTGGAGTGCCTGTAGTGTTGTGGGCTGTGTGGAAACAGTTTAGCAACCCTGTGTCAGGAGGTTTGCTTAAGAGAGCTTTTTGTGTGCTTTGTTATAAAAATAAAGAGCTGACTCAAAATATTTTATAAAATATTTTTGATTTTTTCATGATATCAACAAACATGGCATTGACATATACTCCTATTCACCATCAACTAATTTGCTACGTCCTTCTTGAACATATAGCTCAAATAACACATCTTGATCCTTGCTGAAGACATGGGA